TTCCCTCTGCCTGGAACAGTGCCTGCCTCAGTGACTGTCCGCCTTCACCTCATGCCCTATTCCCTTAGGACTGGGGTCTCCTTCCCCGCTGGTCTGCCTTTGGGGACACTGCCCACTGCTGAAACCCTGACCAGCACACAGTAGGCATTCCAGAAATATCTTTTTAATGACTTGTGTGATAAGACCCTGCTTAGGTCTCAGTTTCCCAGAGGATGAGGATGAGGCCAATTGACCCTTCTCTGCCCAGGACTAATGGCTTTAAATAGCTCTGACATACTCTGGAGGTGGAAAATGTAGATTAGATTGTAGAATGTGGTTTTAGGCCCCGGGAGTTCTGCACGGGTGCAGAGACCACTCTGGCCAGCTTCATCAAGGTTGTGTTCCTGCCAGGCTGGACTGGGGCTGGGACCGGGTTTATTTTTTTAAACATTTTAATTAATTAATTAATTAATTAATTAATTAATTAATTAATTAATGATAGTCACAGAGAGAGAGAGAGGGGGGCAGAGACATAGGCAGAGGGAGAAGCAGGCTCCATGCACCGGGAGCCCGATGTGGGATTCGATCCCGGGTCTCCAGGATCGCGACCTGGGCCAAAGGCAGGCGCCAAACCACTGCGCCACCCAGGGATCCCTGGGACCGGGTTTATAAGAAGACACAGGTGTTTCTGGGTCTCACCACTCTGTATGTGCATTTTCACAAGTCCTCTCAGTATCTCTGCTGAATAAAGGATGGAAACCACTGTGCAGTGAGTTCCACAGCCCTGGGTCCCAGCTCTGGCTCCATTGCCTGCCAGCTAGCAGCTAGGGACTTCACTGCCACCACTCAGTTTCTTCATCTGTAAAGTGGGGCTGCTACTAGTACTGACTTCTCAGGGTCGTTGTGAGCAGTCCACAGGCTACCTTAAAAATGTTTAGTGCTTGGCACATCAAGCATTTATTGCAGCCATTATTATTAGCAGATGGTTCATTCCCAGGAGTTGGGACCTTGTTAGTTAGCAGTGCTCCTTCTCTATGAAACCTGGACTTCAGGTACTACTTCCCAGAAGCCATATTTTTTCAACTTTTTGTAAGAAACTCCAAGAAGTTTATGTGGTTCATGTTTAAGCCACTGGTGGATGTTAGCGGACATTCAATGATGGGTGGTGGTGGTAGGGCACTGTCCTAGGCTTCAGAGGCAGGAAGATTAGTAGGATCCACTTCTTGTCTGGTAACAACAGACAAGCTGATAATTACAATCCAGTGGGGGCATGTGTTGAGATGGCCCACAAACTGTGAGGAGAGGATAGGATTTCAGGGTGGGGGGCAGCGGTCCTTTGAGTGGAGAGCCCCAGAGTGGATGGAAGAGGGGAGGATGTATGGGTGGAATGGCCACATACTCCCCCACCAGGGTGTGAAATTCACTGGGAAAGACAGGTTGAGCTCTACGGGTGATAAACTGGTATATAATCCCCCAGCTGATAGAGAACCTCCCCTGAGCCAGACCTGGCTGGGCTGGAGGTAGGGGGCACATCAGCCCTCCTGAACCAGTGGGCTGTCCAGTGGAAGAGACAAGACAAGCATTAATAGCATCCACGCCCCTCTCACCCTCCCTCTGCTCCCCCCTCCTACAGCCTCCCTTGCCAGAGTTGAGGTATCCAGGAACCTGCAGGAGGTACCCTGGGAATCAAGCCCCTGTCCTAGGTCTGGGGAGAGAGCAGTCTCCAGATCTCTAGTGGGGGTGTGGTCTCTGAAGATGGCATCTTCAGCCTTGGGGGTTGGGACTGCGTGCCCTCCTCCTTTATCCTTTAGCAGAGTCTTTTAAGGGGGTGACCCTCTGACCTCCAGACTGTTCCCCCTCACCCTCCAGCCAGAAGTCCCTGGGCAGCAGCTTAAGGAAGGAGGGCTCCGCAGGCCTCAGGTGGAGCTGCAGATAGAAGGCCATCGTTGGGCCTGAAAAGACTCTGGGGTCCCCTGGGCACTTCTGGGGAGCTCGATCAAGGCCAGGGTGCCTGAGTCAGGTCCATGGGAGTGCAGCGCCGAGAGGCGGGTGCCTGGCTGGCCCAGGACAAGGGAGGGGGCGAAGGGCGAAGGGTTCAGCCGACGGAGCAGGCGGGGCATGGGGAGTCTAGGGCTCCGGATGGGGGTGGGAGGGTGAGGGGTCCGGCCGATGCAGGGGAGGGGGCGCCCCTGGGGAGGGGCACGCTATGTCTTTAAGAGCTGCCTGAGCGCAGGTTGCAGCTGCCTGGCCGGCCCGAGAGACAGCGGAGATTCATTACCCGCCGACACAATGACCATTGATGGCCCCGTGGCGTTATTCAAATCCAGTACCAATTGCAGCCGAGCCCCTTTCTCCGCGCCAGGCCCGTATTGTTGGAGCGGCCCACTAAAAGCCCGCCCCGGCCCCGAGCCGCCAGAGGCGCCCGCTCGGGTTCAGCCCTGCGCCTCGCCAGCCTGCCGGCTCCCAGCCCGGCTCCCAGCCCGGCTCCCCGGGCGCTGCAGGTGACCCGGCGGCGCATTCCAGCGCTCCCCGCCGTCCCGGCCACCGCCGCCACAGCCACCGCCACCGCCACCGCCGGCGCCCCGCTCGCGACTCAGCCACAGGGAAGCGGAGAGCGCCGGAGCCGGTGCGTGCGCGGGGCCGGGCGGGGGCGGGGACCTCACGAGGCCAGCAGCCCGCACCCCGGGCTGGGAAACGCGACCCGGCCTCCGGCCCCTGCTTTCCGGATTCCCGGCGAGCCCGGGGAGCCCAGGCTGGGGGCGGGGAGAGGGGAGTTGGGGTTCCCCGGGCCTGACAGGGGAGATTCCCCCGACTCAGGGCGGCGCAGAGACCCAACGCGGGCTACTCTAGGGACCCCGGGCCGCGATCGAAGGAGACGCACGCCAGGGGCGATGGGGATCCCCACGCAGGGTCGGGATCCGCGTGCTTGCTCGTCCACCTTACCGCGGGATGGGCCGCGACCGCGGAGTGTCTGCGAGGTAGTGGGACGCGCAGCTCCGGAGATCTCCTGGTCCGGCGCTTTTAAGGAGCCAAGCGGAACCCCGCACGCAGGAGACTGGGGCCCCGAACTCGGGGGCTTTGCCACTGATTGTCCAAACGCAATTCTTGTACGAGTCTGCGGCCAACCGAGAATTGTGGCTGGACATCTGTGGCTGAGCTCCGGGCGCAACAGGGGCGGAAGCCGCAGGGACAGAGCTCGGCGCAAGCGAGACCCCTCGGGGAGGCGGCTGGTTAGCCCCAGCGCCAGGATCGCTGCCCCAGCCGGGCGCGCAAAGGAGGGACGCCGGTCCCTGCCACCAGCGCCGCCATCCTCATCCTCGTCGTCGTCGTCCTCCTTCTCCTCCTCCTCTGCGGGTGACCAGTCCTGGCTGGCGGGGGGCCTCCAGTCGATCGCGTCGTTTTCCCTTTTTCAAATTTCGGCCGGGAACGAAGCTGGCACGCCGCGGCTGGGCACGATTGTGGTCCGGGGAGCCCGCCCTCGGCCCGAGCCTCAGCAAGTCAGGGGCGAAAGAAGATGCCGGCGGAATGGGCTCGCTAATTCGTTTTGAATTGGTTTTAACCTAGCCCCCCACCAATACCCCCCCCAAACAAAAAAGCCTAAACTGACCCTTAAATCCCAAATAAACCGACCCCTCCCGGCAGCCCCATCCAGGCGGACCGATGGGCTAAGCCTCCTCCAGCGGCTCCAGGAGTCAGGAATCGGAGAAGCGTCGGGAATTATGCGCTCCAGCCGGGCAATTGCCTCGGCTTTGGAAACAACTTGGACAAACGAATCCTTTTCATTAAAGACAAATCTTCGGAGATAGTGGGGTTTACTTATTCGTTTATTTCCTCCAAATCGAGGGTTCAGGAGTTGCGGGGGGGGGGCAGTTGGGCGTTGTTGAGGCTGAGCCCAAGTCACCTGTTCCTGACCCTTGTCCCACTGGGGACTAAAAATGACCTGAAATGTTGCCAAGCAGGGTTTGGGCCAGTTTCAGCATCCCTCTCCCCAGATAACCCAGTTTTCTTGGTGTAGCCTCCTGCCCTACCTCTCCGCATTAATTGGGGGTGCCCTGGCAGAAGGGATATCCCACATGTACTCTCCCTCTTCCCACTGCAGGCGGGAAAGGAATCCTATCATCCAGTTTCCAGGACCTGGAATCCCAGGTGGGACAATGGGCCACTCCAGTGGAGCTGGAGGCAGGGAGGGACCTCCAGGTTACATTAATCAGTGAGATCATAGGGGGCCATTTCAAATCCCTTGCTCTGTTCCCTAACATGGAGACCATGACCTCAGTACTGAGCACGGGCTGGTCATAAGCCTTTCTATACAGCACTTGGACCCCAACACTGGTCTTAATTTGCACTCAGACCAGCTCCTACCCAGAACCCCAACATGGCTCGCCCCTACCTGCACATACCCAGAAAGTCTCTACCCACACAATGCTGGAGAAAAGCTCAGAAGCCAGAGGTCATGTGTCCTCTAGGCCTTCAGACTGATGTGCACACACATCCCCTTTACCCCCAACACTGCTGAGACAACTATTTGGCAATTTCATCTCCATAGGAGAGAGATTCCACCTTAAATTACTGACATTTAATGAAAAGCAATGTTTGGGGTGGGATAATGTTAATGCCCTAATTTTTTTTTTTTTTTTTGAGGTTTCCCTCCAGCAACGCTTTTTCTCCAGGTCACAGGAAAGGAGGTTTAAGCAGTCTTCTATGCCATCCCTATTCTGGTTTCTGGGGCTGCTGGCTGCAGCTGGTAGGACAAAGCCTGGCCTTGGACAGACAAGTAGAGAAGTGTCCTGGGACCCAGATTGGTCAGCACGGACTGGCTCTGCCATCCCCTTCTCCAGATGGCCCTATTAGACCATCTCTCCCAGACAGTTTCTGTGGTCTGGTTTTTAACCCCTGCCCTCTTTTTGGGTGAAGGGCAGCTCTGGAAGCCCTAGGCTGAGGGCAGAGAGGTTGGATCGGGAACCTTGGCTCAGGGGATGTGGGGTGCCACTGGTTTCTAAGGATGAAGCTCCAGGCAAAGCTAGTAAACAACCTAGTCTTTTATTTGCCCAAGGCCAGCTGTTGCAGGCACTGAGGCCCCAGGACTTCCAGAAGGGATGGAGGGAGGAGGGGCAGACCATCCTGCCTACCAGGTGCTGTCTGCCCCTATTCTGCTTCCTGAAGGAGGTGGAAAGGAGATAAAGTCTACGTTTGTGCCATCAAATATAATGCTTCCTTCAGATACTATAAATATTTAGTTGCTGTTGAGGAGGAAACTGAGGCACTCTGACCGCCCCCACCCCCAGCCTCTTATGTGCCAGTCTGAGGTTTTTGCCTGTTCCTCTCTCTCCAGAATGAGCTGCGGGCAGCCTTTTGCTGGGGGAGGGTCTTAGGAGCCCATCTGGTGGCCTGTGGGGGGGGGGGCAGGCCAGCCAGGGTCAAGGGCTGGGGATGGGGGAGCAGGAGGAGGGGTATGGTTGGAAGAGCAGCTGCTGGGAGGGGGGAGTTAACACTGAATAGGGGACCCCAGCTGGGGTTCCATAATGATATCAGTGGGGGACAGCCAGAGCCCTCTGCTGTCTAGATGGGGAAACTGAGGCAGAGAATCCTCTTATCCTTGAGAAGGGAGGGGCCTTGCCCATCAGCTATTCCAGTTCATTCATCTTCCCCAAGAAGACACCACAGCCCAGGAGCTGGCGTGCCTTGTCAGTGGTCAGTGTGCAGCCTGACACACAAGGAGTGGAAGGCAGCTGGGTCACCTGGCCATGGGGTCCCCTCCTGTTGTAACAAACCAGAGGGGTACCCTCCCCCACCTCAGCTGCTGGGGAGGGAGGCAGGGCTGAGCCTGTCCGCCTCTACTCACGTGCCTGAGAAAGGCTCATTTTTAGCACCTGGCCTCTTTTCCCTGCCTGGAGGGAGCTCAGGGGACAGAGCAGGGAAGAAAGCAGCCAAGGGGGACAGGGAGACCTGGAAGCAGGGCCCCAGGGGATGTCTGATTGTGCTCGTCCTCCCACCCCAAGGGAGCCCGAGCACCAAGTGGGGCCCTCAGCCGCCATGCAGTGTGGATATGAAGAGGATGCTGTCCTGGTCCTGCAGCTGGTAGTCCAGCTCGCCCTGGTCCAGGAGAGAAAGGAGGAGATTGTCAGTGGTTTCTCCTCAGCTGTCGGGAGGGGAAGAGGGGGCCTGGCTGCTTTGGAATAGAAGGAAAAAAATCTACCAGAAACATGGGTGCCCTACACACAAACCTGTAAATCTTCAGGATGGAGGAGAGTGAACCACTTCCTCCAGCTACCCGTTCCTCTCTGGGGTAGAAAACTTGAGTGGCCTCAGTTTGGAGGCCAAGCAGGACAGAGGACTAGCCAGCCACCCCCACTGGGCCTGACGAAAGACCCAAGGCTGTTCTGGGGAAGCAGTGAGGGGAGGGACATCCCTGAGGTACTGACCAGCAGTTCCCAGTCGGCATCGTTAACCAGCACCAGAATTCCTGGTCGCCTGTGGGAAAGAGGGTGTAAGGAGCAGGGCATGAAGGGCAGGAGGTGGCAGGGATAGAAAGGCTAAGACACTTAGGCTGGGGAACAGTGTGGTGGGAGCTGTTCCTACTGAGATTCTGATTAAAGATCATCCAGAAGTGGAGGGGACACTAAGTTTAAAGGAACCCAGGCCAGACAGTCGTAGCCTTTAGGATGATAAGGAAAACAGGTGCAAATTCCAGCACCAACCCCCCAGACCTCGGGCAACTCATTTTGTTTCTCTGAGCATCAGTTTTCTCTCTGAAAATGGCACAAATTACACAGCCTTCATCCCAGGTCTGTGCCAGTATGAGACAGGATGATGTGTATCAGGTACCTGCCTGCCTGCATCTATCCTGGTAAGCACTGGTAGCAACACATTTTCCCAGAGGGCTCACCACACTCTCCTAGGCTTTCCATAGGCTCGTCCTGGACAGGCTATCTTGGCTCTTTGGAATCAGGGAAAGCTGCCAGTGGCCTCAAGCACCCACATGCCCAAGAGCAGCTCTGCCTAGTGGTAAGGCAAGGGAGGTTGACATTTGGATGGGTATCTGTCTGGTCCCTGCTGGCAGTAGCCCAAAGAGCACTACTGTTCATGGGGATGGCCTCCATGACCTGAGCCAGGGGTTGGATGGCAGCCTTAGCTCCCAGGGTCTGTTGGTGACCTCTGCGTCAAGGGGGTGATAACTGGGTCCCACAGTGCCTTGTCCACCTCTTTTACACATTAGGTTGGCCTTCTTGTAGAAGCAGAGTGACTTCTCGGGCCATGGAATGTGGCTCTTTTCCCAGGAGGCCAGACTAGGTCTGGGACAGGCACAAAAGCTTTGGGCCAGGGGTAGAGCTAGCTTTGGAGTGAGCACAAATATGCACGTGTGTGTGCATGATGTGTGTGTGTACCTGTGTGTGTATACACATGCGCACAGTGACTCCCCAGAATTCTAGACTTGTGCACTCCAACACGGTATCTATGAGCCATATTCACATTTCCAGAGCTCAACAGACTCATATGTTTAGCAGCTACTATATTAGCACAGATACACATTTCCATCATCATAGAAAGTTCTACGGGACAAGAGAAGTCCCATATTGTTGAGGGATGAAAGGGACCATAGGCAGCATCTTTTTCTCAGTGCTTCCTGTGTGGAGAGAGTAGCTGGAGCCCAGAGACGGAGGAAGGATAAAGGGGCGAACAGGACCCTGAGAAGGCTGTGAGTGAACCCAAGGATAGGGGCTCAAACCTCCTCCCCACCCCACCCCCTGCCCGCCTCAGGGAAGGGAAGAAAGGGACTCACACGCTGTCTCCCTGGATGAACAATTCTGGCCGCTCTTTTAGCAAATTCTTCTTGATCCAGACAAGGAGACTCCGGATGTCCCCTGGAGAGGAAGGCACAGAACAAGCTGCCGTCAGACCCCAATGATGCCTGGCCCCCAGAGCCTTGCCTGGATCAGAAGGAAGGGAACATGGGGCACAGGCGGCCTCTTTCAGACCAGGCTGTCGTCGCCTCTGGACTTGCAGTTTCCCAAAGTGAGGAAGTGGGTTAGGGAGCCGGCACCTTTCCAGAGAGGCCCTCGGAGAAAGTGGCACTGCTCAAGGCTTATAGAGGCAATGGGCCTCCACACAGACTGCAGAAGGAACCCACATATGTGGGAGGGTGGGAGACAGATCCCCACCACAGGCTCTGGGAGACAGTCTGAAGCTAAAACAGACAGGCTTCTGAAGGACCCTGAAGGACCCCCGCCACCCTTCTCTCTTGAGCCCATCCCAGATGATGGGGAGGACTCAGCTTTGCTCTCAAAGGGGTCTGCATATATTTCCCTTTGTGAGGGAAGAAAAACAATTGCTGAGCTGATAACATCAGTTAATTTCCTCTGGCAGAGGGAGAGAAGGATCCTTCACCAGTCAGAGCTGCTGACAGATTGCTGCCCCACAACCCCCACCTTCACAGAGCCCCCCAGGCCGGGAACAGCCACCCTAAAGAAGCAAGAGGTTCAGGATCAAAAGGGCCTCTCCTGCTCAAGCTTAGACACTGGGATCTGCCACTCCGTGGTTCTTGGACAGCCACTGAGCTCTGTGCAGACCACATGGAGGCTGAGCCACCTGTCCCTGGGTCACCTCTCCTTTCTTAGGATCAGGGTCCCAGGCCACAGCATACTGAAACCTGGCTCTAGAAACTCCTCAAAGCCTATGGCTCCCAACCATCCACTCCTCCAACAGACTGTCTCCCAAGGCGGCAGGAGTTCCTACTCTCCCTGAGGCCACTTGAGGACAGAAGGCCCAGGGGAGTCAGTAGGAGCTTGGGGCTGGCTACCTCTATCCTGACTTCATCTCTCAGAGGGGTCCGCTGTCCTGGGCCCACACCTGAGACAAGGCTCAGGGGCAAAGCTGAAGAAAGGCCCAGGCAGTGCTTTGGTTTCTCTGTGCAGTGACAGCCTTGGCATATAAGTAAGGGAAAGGCTGCTTGGACAAGCAGCTCCGCTCTGCCCCAGTCTCGGTCCAGCAGTGTACCTCAATCACAGAACCAGCTTTGGGCAGGGTTTGGAGGCATTCTCCCTGACCTGTATGCCACCCTCCTGAAAGGCAGGCAGGCTGCACCCGGGATGGACTCGCTCACTATGCTCCATGCCAACTTTGCCTTTCAACTGGAATTCCTGCTTTTAAACAAAGCAGATCGGATCTGCAGATCATGGCTCCTGGAGTAGGCAGGGGATGGGTGTTGCCTCCAACTAGCAGCAGTCCGTTTGGACTTCTGGCTGGGTTCCTCCCTTAGGCCTGGTTTCAGAGGTTCCCCCTTGGCCTCCATCTTGGCACTGTCTGGTGGGCCGCCAGCCCATATATCTTGTGGCCGCTCGATACAGCCGCTGCGGTCTGACACATCCATCAGCCAGCCGTGGCAGGCGGGGTTGTGCCTGTGTGTGTGTAGGAGCTGAGAGGCACTGGGCAGTGCCTGGCCAAGGGCCACCAGCTGCACCTCCACAACCCTGGCTGGCCTGTACAGAACCAGGACCCAGTTGGGTTAATGGTCCGGGGTCTCTCCAAAAGGAGGAGTCTTCTGTTCCACTTTGGATAGGCTGGGGGGTGGGGGGAGGGCTACTGGTCATGTCAGGGTCATCCAAGTGATGGCACCATCATGGAGTCCCAGGGGGGTGGACTAGGGGGTGAGCCTGCTGTTGGTCCAGGCTCATTTATCATGATGCTCCTCTTGGCTGAGGTCACTCCCTCCCTCCTCTGTGCCCCCCAGGCCTGCCCACATTCTTGATAGCCTGTTTCCATGGTGAGGTCGCCGTATTGTTCCCCCATGCCTGGATTTGGGGGTGGGGAGAGGTGGAACTTGCTGCTCCCTTCTCAGGGAGGCCTGCAAGGGCCACTCGGCCTGGCCTGAAACACACCCCCAGGGACATCTTGCTAGGCTTGCTGGGGCCCAGACAATATGCAAATAGCCTCCAAGCCAGATGGTCGGCTTCCAAACACGCCCAGGGGAGGAGAAGGGTTAAGCAGAGTCAGGGACTGGTGGCTCTGGGGAATCACCCGTCCACCTTCCCTCTCTATGTCCTCCTGCCTTCCCACTTTCACTGAGGGTGGTTTCCCTCCTGGGATCCCATGCAGTCATTCACAAGACAAATATTTATTGAGCAACTACTACGTGCCAGGTGCTAGGAAGACGGTGGACACAGAGCCTACCCTCATGGAGTTAATAGGCCAGCAGGGGGGATGGCTGCTATTTATTTCATTAGTTGTGATACATGCTATCTCCTTCGTGCAGGGGCAGGAAAATTTTTCTGAAGATGTTCACGTTGATGTCAAGGCCTGAGGTATGAATAGGGCAGAATGGGGAAGCATCCTAGGCAGAAGGAACATACACGAAGGCCTGAGGCAGGATGGAATTGGCAGGTTCAAGGTAAAAGAACAGAGAAGCCAAGAAGATTAGCAAAAGAGGAGGCCAGAGCAGTTGCCAAGGGGCCAGATCATGCAGGGCATGCTGGGGCCTTGAGATGGGTCTGTTCTGGAAGAGGCCTCTCCTTCCTCATGAACCCCAAGTGTGCTCCATGGGTACAGAACCCACACTGCCTTGGCCAGTGCTCCATGTTTCTCTGGCCACGCACGTTACCAAGAGCCAGCTCAAATACACGGCATGACCAGTATGCACTGGAGTGTGTTCTGAGGACCTGCTGCCGGGCACAGCACACAGCACAGAACCTTCCACCAGAACCCGCCTGAGATGTTTGCTGTAGATGTGGACAACTTCAGAAGGGACAAGAGGCTGAGAACAGAGATAGTCCTGGTTCTGAGTTTGAGCCATTACTTTCTGTTCCTATTACCCTGGCTATGGGATTCTCTAAGCCTCAAACATCTTTCTGTGGCAAGTGGGAATGGTAAGAACACTTCACAGGGTTGTTGCAAGGATCAAATACCATAATCCATATGAAGCTCCTGGCACATTTGTGCTGTAATTGTTCTGTGACCCACAGGAAAAACCTGCACCCTTTGCTCTGTCCCAATGTCCCGAGCTTCTACATGCTCTGCTCAGGCCCCTGGCACCCTGGCATGTGCTTGGACAGCCTGGCAGGTGGAGTACAGTCAAGTACTCATCAGATAGCGCTGGGACTGGCTGCGGCTTTCTGTGGGATTCATTCCCTTGCCATCAAACATGAGAGACAATGAGGGAATGTGGGGAGGAGGGCCTTGGGAATGGCGAGGCGGCCCTACACACTGGCCTTCCCTCCATTTTATTATTTTTAAAAATAGTTGTTGTTGTTGTTTTTAAAGTAAACTCTATATCCAATGTGGAGCTTGAACTCACAAACCAAGATCAAGAGTTGCCTGCTCCACGGATAGAAGCAGTCAGTTGCCCCATTTCCCCCATTTTAGATGTTCAGACCCCCAATGTGTTCTCGGGACAAGGCAGGCAGGAAGGAATCACAGTCTGAGGCTGTGGAGGCCAGAATGCCAGCGCTAGATGAGCATCCAATACAAGGTCTCCAGAGGGAAACCTGGGGAAGAGCAGTAGTGGGAGCCACTGCTCTATGGCAGGGTGGTTAAGAGTTGGAGGTTCTAGAGAGAGACCCTGGACTGCTGCTAGATGCCCTGGGTAGGAAGTCACCTGGCTTCTTAGTGTCAGTGTCAGCCTCTGACAAATGAGGACAGCAATCTAAACCCCAAAGCACTGCCATGAGGGTTCAAGCATAAAGTAGCAGCAGGCCCTGTGGAGTGTCCAACACAGAGAACAATGTCCATTTGCCCACAGGGACTCAGGGCTCCTTATCCTCTGGCTGCCAGATCCCTCTCTTGCAGGCTGCTGGCAAAGGGGCATCATGTACAGCACTCAATGATGAGCACCTACAAAAGCTCCCACTAGGACTGCTTGCCCTGGTGGACTGCCCTTGTCTGGGGACACTAACCAACCCACTTGGCAGGGCCACTGGTGTCCATCCTAGCTTCTTGGGCTGAAAGAGCAACAATCATGAGGTCTTATCTGATAATGAACCGCCAAATGCAACAGACCCACATCCAGCCTCTCTTTGATCACATCTAGGGAGAACTTTTCTCCTAACTAGTAATCTGTCTTCCTGACACCCTCCCCCATGAGCCTGGTTGGTCCATGGGGACCACACGAACAAAAGTGGCCCTTCTTCCCCACGCCACTAGGATCAGGGAGGGCTGGATCCCCTAAGTCTTCTCCTCCATGAGGTTAAACCGCTCCAGTTCCCACCAAGTCCACCAGGCTCCAGGCTCTTCTGGGAGCCCACCCCAGGCCTTAGTTGAAAAGGGAGAAGAAAGAGCAGGGATGGGGGAGTAAAGTAGAAGAGAGGGTAGAGGGAACATCAGAGGGTCTATTTACAAGTGAATGGGGGTAAGAATGGAGCAGTTTGTGGGCTAAACTGGCCTCAGAAGAAGGTTTACAGATGTGCAGGGGACGCTCCTCATTGTTTAATTAAGCAGAAAGTGGATCTTTTCAAAAGCAATTTTGCACAGGGACTGGGAGGGACTGGGGGAGAGGAGGGCGGTGGGGAGGGGATCAGCAAACAGGCCCCAGAGCAGAGAAAGGAACAGCTGGCCTCAGAGAGGCTGTGAAATGCATGCTAAGCAGTTTAAAGCGCCGGGAGCTCCCTCCAGCTCCCTGGCCGGCCACCCTGTAATACAAAGGCAGGGCAGAGGAAGGGCAGGGAAAGGTGAGGCCTAGTGTCTCCTCCTAGGGACCAGGGCAGGTAAAGCCCTGCCTTTGTATTATGGGGACGGGACAGTCGGTCTTCCCTGACATTTTAAGTTTGCTCCAGGGGACTAACCAACCAAGGGCTGGGAGCCTTGCATTGAAGAGACCCTTGATGCATAAAAGCCAGCCCCCAGTGACAATATCTGAAACTGATGGCTTCTACCAACCTCTGCCAATCAAGGAGATGGCCTGTTCCATGGAATTGGCTGTTAGAATATTCCCTTCTATAAGCATACCTTCTGGCCAACACATCCTGATGTCTAGAATTGTGTGCTTAACTCTTCCAAACTGCGGATATCCAATGGATAACCAGCTCCGTAAACACTAAATCTAGCCCAATCTCCCATTTCACAGATGGGAAAAGAAAGGCCCACAGAAGTTAAGTGATCTGCAAACTCACACTGCCAGGGCTCCTCTTACAGGCTCACCCCATTTGGCCTTGCCCATCTTCTTTTCCCAAGTTGGCTGGTTTGGAAGCTCTCCCCTGGCCCAGGACCCAGGGCCTTGGAGTCCCCTTGTTTGTGAGACTTGTCACAATCCAAAATCTTATGGTTGCCATTTTCTCCACTGGAGTCTCCAGGACCTGCTTGGCCAAGTGGCAACCCCTGGGCTGGGAAGGCTGCCAGTTGACAGAGCTGGGCACAGGCTGGGGGGAAGAGTGAGACTCTGCCGGCAGCACCCGCTGGGCTCCTGTGTGCCAGGGTAATGTCTGGCAGCTGCCAGCCGGCTCTGAGGCTGCGGTGAGACCTATGCCTCTGGGCGCAGCAGGGCAAAAATAGGAACCAGGAGTGAAGATCTACAGCCAAGGGCACAAAGACTAGGTCAAGGGGCCATTTCAGCTTCTCTCGCCTGTTTGCTTTTCTGTCATCCCAGAGAGGGTAGGGTAGGACCCAACTTACCTGCTAAGCAGTGAATGGAGGCTGAGAGATTGAACACCTGGGTCTTAGCCCCACTCCCTATTTATCTAACTCTGGACAGGTCAACATCTCTCTCTCTCTCGCTCTCTCTGACGTTTGGTTTCCTTGGTCATATATAATATATACTGGGGTCATTACAAAAATCAAAATAAGTAGCTGTTAAAAGCATGAGCAAATGGGATGCCTGCGTGGCTCAGTGGTTGGGCACCTGCCTTCCACTCAAGTCATGATCCTGGAATCGGGGGGTCCCGCATTGGGCTGTGTCTCTGCCTCTCTCTCATGAATAAATAAAAAATCTTAAAAAAAAAGCATTAGCAGACAAACAAATGAATAAATGAACGAATAAGTGAATTAAAGTGTAAAACCCAGAAAAAACACTGCAGGTGTGAGAGTCATGTGGGTGACTCAGGGAATTTGTGGCACCATGCAAGGATTTTGGAGACCATGGAATCTGGTTCTAAATCCCAGCTCTGCCATTTATTTTATTTTATTTTATTTTATTTTATTTTATTTTATTTTATTTACTCATGATAGACATAGAGAGAGACAGAGAGAGGCAGAGACACAGGCAGAGGGAGAAGCAGGCTCCATGGAGGGAGCCCGACGCAGGACTCAATCCCAGGTCTCCAGGATCATGCCCTGGGCTGAAGGCGGGCACTAAACCGTTGAGCCACCCAGGGATCCCCAGTTCTGCCTTTTTTTTTTAAATTTTTATTTATGATAGTCACAGAGAGAGAGAGAGAGGCAGAGACACAGGCAGAGGGAGAAGCAGGCTCCATGCACCGGGAGCCCGATGTGGGATTCGATCCCGGGTCTCCAGGATCGCGCTCTGGGCCAAAGGCAGGCGCCAAACCGCTGCGCCACCCAGGGATCCCCCCAGTTCTGCCATTTAAATAACCATATGGTGTGGACTGAAACCCTTGACACCTCTGAGTTTGGGTTTCCAGTTTTTAAAAAGGGAACAATATTGGGAGTCACCACCTAAGAATCTGTGACAATTATTTGTATGACCAACCAGGGTTGTGCCTACCATGCTCAACTCAGCCTGTGGCTCTCATCACACCGGATTTTCTTCAGTTCCTGGACTTAAGTGAGGCTTTTTTTTTTTTTAATGTTTATTTATTTATGATAGTCACATAGAATGAGAGAGAGAGAGAGGCAGAGACACAGGCAGAGGGAGAAGCAGGCTCCACGCACCGGGAGCCCGACGTGGGATTCGATTCCGGGTCTCCAGGATCGCGCCCTGGGCCAAAGGCAGGCGCTAAACCGCTGCGCCACCCAGGGATCCCTTAAGTGAGGCTTTTGACCAAGATGCCCTCCCAAGAGCTAGTTCCTCTGCCTGAACTGGACCCCTGCACCTGTGCTCTCCTTCCCAAGTTACAAGGCTAGCTGCTGCTGCTGCTTTTTTTTTTTTTTTTTTTTTTACCCTTCAGGCCTTCACCTCAAACTTAGCTCTGTAGAGGCCTTCCCTCACCATCTGCTCTCCTTCAAAGCACCTGTTTGCTCTCCTTATGCTAATGCCCACCACCTGTACGGTTTGCATTAGGTTCTTTCCTGGTTTACAACCTGCCTCTGCTTCTGATACGCTACATGTCGGGCAAGAACCACATGCTTTGCTCACCACCGAATACCCAGCTACTAGTACAGTGCCTGATATAAATGAGGCACTCAGAACAAGATATGCCAGCCACAAGCACAAAGTACTTACTTCCAGCTCTGGCACATGGTAACTCCTCAGCCAAGGGACAAATGAAGGGGACTGAAATCACTAAACCTGGGGACTTCTGTGCCATGCTAATGCAGGTGAAATGAATCATAACTCGTGAGACTTTACTAACTTCCTGGCCAGGTCTTTAAGGCTGAGTCTTTGAGAGGCTTCTGAGAGCCCCTTGTTCCCTCCCAAGGCTGTGTGGCCATCTGTCAAACTAAGAAACAGTCACCTTTATTTTCATGGGTCTTCCCTCACCAGGGACACTCTGTTCCCCAGTCCTCATGCCCACTCCAAGTTCAAGGATGGCAGTGTCCTGTACTTTGGTAAGTGTCCCCCAGCCTCTGAAGGTGGCACATAGATCGACCCTGTGCCACTGCTCTCCAACCCAAAGGAGGGTCAGGGACAGCCTTGGCAGACAGTGAACTTGGGCAACTGTTTGATTCCTAGCAAATGTGTGCACACTTCCAAAAAAACCTGTCAGACCTCATGACCATTTCTCAACTGCCTGCTTCCCTAAACCTCATTCTCCTGCCTCCTCATACGATTGATTTCCCTCACCTCAAGAACTATCTCAGCCCTAGGTGGAGATGGGCTTACATGTCTGTTCTGCCCTTGGGAGGATCCATTGCTAGAGCTGCAGAACAGCTCTAGGGTTGTGATGCCCAGGCCTCTGCCTCTAGGCTATGGAGGATATTTACCCAGCTGGGCTCCTGCAGGCTACCTCTTCAACAACCCCCTCCTCATGTGAAGGCAGGGCCTGGCTCATATTTGCGTGTCTCTCCAGTGCCTGGTACACAGTCTGACACACAAGAGATGCTCAGTATATACTAGTGAAAGGAAAACGAACCAGTGCTTGAATGGACAAATGGAAAAAAAACCCCACTGTCTCCACCTTGGTCAAGTTCCCCCATCCCACCTCCTTTCTGGCTGGATACTTTTCACCTCACCTAATCCTCTCACAGTGTTAGCCCATCCACACTGTTCCATTCTCGATGAAACCAAACCCCTTCATGAGGACACCTCTCTGCTATCGGAGAACAATGGAGATGCATGCTATAGCTTTTAGCACATAGGGATTTATGCTTTACCTCACATGTAAGAATGCTAAAGCTCAGAGAGGTGAGACCCCTGGCCTGAGGTTCTTTTTTCTTTTAAGATTTTATTTATTCATTTGACAGAGACAGAGCACAAGCAGGGGGAACAGCAGAGGGAGAGGGAGAACCACTGAGCAAGGAGCCTGACTCAGGGCTTGATCCCAAGACCCTGGGATCATGACCTGAGCCGAAGGGAGATGCTTAACAATTGAACCACCCAGGCGCCCCTGACTTGAGGTTCTAAGGAGATCCAAACTCAAGTCTGTCTGAATACAGAACCTGCATCTGTAAGGACTAAATTATGCTACCTCCCTCTTGCACAGCTGGCTCATCTCAGGGGAGGGGAAGGGAGAAGGGTACTCTGGTGATGTCTCTTCCTTACTCTCCTCCCTACTACTGGCCAGGGAAATCCTACCCATTCTTGGACAGGACTGAGTGAACCCTTAGACTCCTCTTCCATGGCCCCCCCCCCAGAGAGGGGCTCAGAAAACTCATACTCACAGGGCTCCTCCTGTCCAGGTAAGGTGACCTGATGTTTCTTTACGCCATCAAACAGGAGCTCTGCACCGCCTCTGCAAAGGAGGGCCAGAGAAAGATAGCCAGGTGAGCTCCTGCAAAAATCTAGCCAAGACTGAAAACTGAGGAGGGAGTTAATATTAGAAGCCCAAGAGAAGCACAGACCAAGGCTCAGGGACATCAGTGGGGTACCAGTGTGTGACTGATTCTCAAATGTGACTTCCTGACATGGTCAACGAGGATGTAAATAATTTCCACCAATCAAGCGCCCAAATTTGCAGGCTCTCATATTTACTCCTCTGCTTTCTCAAGAGGCAGCTCAGCATATGGGTGCAGAGCACAAGCTTTAGAGCTGATGCCCCATGATGGAAACCACATTTCACCTCTGCCTGATGCCCAGACCATTGGCACGTGACTTCATGTTCTCAAGCCTCAATTTTTCCATCAACAGAAGTGTTGACAAGCCACCATCAGACAGAGACCCTGCATTGTTGAGGGGTTTCCTCTGGCCAGGGGATGGTCTGAAAAGCCCCCTGCTTGTGCCACACATTGCTGGCCTGGTAGGCACACCACAGTGTTAGAGGCTGAGATCCACTGGGCTTAGCAATAACTTTGTCATTTACAAAAACATTCTTCAGCTCATTTCACCCACAGGGCATCCCAGGTAAGGAGGAAGGGAGGCAAACGTTATTAGTTCCACCTGATGGAGAAGCAGGCTGAGGCCTGGAGAGGTTGAGTGACTTGTCCAAGGTCACACAGGCAGTGGCTGAAGTAGGATCTAAATTCCAGTTGGTTTCTGCTCAGCCCCAGCAGCCTTGGCAGAAAGAAAGCAAGGCTCCCCAAGGTCAGAAAGCCCCTTGAGGGCAGATCATGGTTCATTTCTGTGTGCCAGCACCTGGCCAAGGGAAAGCTGGGACAGCAGAGCTGCTTGGAGCCACGTCCAGAAGCTGGGGCTTATGATGCAGACACCAGGGCTCTTTCAATGCCTCACAATGCTTCTTCCTCTGGGTCTCCTGATTCCCATCTCAGACTTCACGTGGATCTTAACTGAGAAGGCCTTAACAGACTTTTGATGGATGTGACTCTTCCCACCCCACCACCCTTTCCCAATTTCAGAGAACAGAGATGTCCTGAGACAGTCCACTGGGAGGCAAAGGCAAGGCAAGCATTGTCATGGGGGAAACATGGGGCGACTGTCATCCAAACAAGGTCACGCTTTGTTGATGCAGAAATGTGGAGGGGGAGAAGAGGCCCATCTGTGGCCGCGCGCACGGCCATTTCAGCTGCAAGCCTGCACAGAGCCTCCATTTATCCCCTTCCAAGAGCTTCGTTCTCTCCTGGGTGGGGGCTGGCACATGCAGCAGCTGGGGTGGGGGAGGGTGACAGGCAAGGGGGCTCAGGAGTTGGGGGTCAGAGAAGAGGGGTGGGAATTGGAGGCCCTGGGACCCAGGCAAACACCCAAGAACAGCCAAACCTGGTGGTGCCAGGCTCAGAGGCCAAGGCTGTTTTTTCCTTTGGAAGCGGATCAAGAGAGAAGCAGTCTGGCTCAGAGTGACCTCTCACCACTGGGTTCACTGGCCCCCAAGAGAGGGGTTGGCACTTCTACTGCCAGCACATCTGGAGGGGAGGAAGGTGAATGCCCAGCCTCTGGAGAGATTCAGGGAGGTGGGCAAGTGGCCTGTGTTGGCCCAGAAGAGAACCAAAGCCAAACTTTCTTATGTCCTGCAGGGTTTGCTGTTCAAACTCAGTTAAGGAGTCACATCTGAAGATACTTCATCTTCCCTTCACCCCCTAATTCCCGATAGGAATGTTTGTTGGTACCAGTGGTTGCTACAGATGCTCCCCAAACCACCTGCACTGTTTCCAGCTTATCTCCATCTGTTTGTCTCATACAATTTTTGTTTTATTTCCCTTTTACCTGCTAGAGTATAAGCTCTGCCTAAAACACAGTCTGGCACATAGTAGGCACTCAAGGAATATTTGCCAAATGAATGAAAATGCCCATTTCTCCTTCTTCTCTGAACTCAATGGCACTACCTCCCTTTGCCAACACCTTCTAGACTCAGAAGAAGGGAAAGGGGTGAGGGAGAAGGAATCTCACACCTGGACCGCAGGGACATACAACACATCTCTACTGCGTACTCTGAATCTTGTATGATCTGAGAAAATTAGCTGCTAAGGACGGTTCTGGAGGCAAGACAAAGGATGGCAGAACTGGTTTCTGACAAGAGAGTAGAAGATGTGAGAGGTCTTCTAGAGTTTATCAAAGCTGGTGGGACTCACAGGACCACATCTGCTCCAGGGAAAGAGGCAAAAATCCTACCTGGACTCTTTAAGGACCAGAGTGGCACTCAGGAACAAAAGGGAGAGAATGATGGGTAAGGAGGTTTCTTTGCAAATTTGCTCAGGTTCACAATGAGGGGTGAAGGAGGTCCACTAAGAAATGTAGGTAACGAAAGACAGGCCAGGGGTCAAAACATGCACTGAGACAAAGAGAGAAGGAATCTGGGTTTGGCATCATCTTAGACATTCTTGCTTCCTGAAAAGCCACTATTCTCGTTGGATACTGTGGTGGTTAGAGGAGGTATTAGGAGATGGGGAGATGGGACAGGAATGTTGTGGGGCTCAGTCTTGCTCTGGGGGGCAAAGGAGGCTGAAGCTAGAGATGTTTAGACTAGAAAAGGGGTAATTAAGCTAGTCTGTAAGCTCTGGAAAGCAGGGGCCATATTTTCCTCATATGACTTCCCTACTGCTGCCAGCATAGTACTCGGCAGAGACATTTCTGATGAACAAATACCATGTTTGACTCAGTGAGAATGAAAGGTAAGCTGACTGCAGATAAACCTGTACATCAGCAGCCTGCAGCTTCTCCCTTTTCAGCTCTGCTGAAGCCAGTCAAAGCAGCAGGAATTGGCCTAGAACCTTTAAGCTACAGGGGGTGGGGTAGGGTGGGTGTATAGCTGAGCCAAGGGTCCGTGAAGCAAAATAGTCAGGAGGCCAGACCAGTATTGTTCTAATTGGACCCATGGGGCCAGACAATATTGTAAATTAAAATGCAGTTAACATTCATGAGACTACCCCCTTCTTCTAAGGGACAGAAACACTGAACACTGGAGGACATGGACAGAGTTCTATTTATCTTTGTATCCTCAGTGCCTGGCTCACTGCCTGGCACATGATAGGCACTCAATAAATGGCTACTGAATGGACTAGCCAATGAAGGGAAAACATGAAAGAAACTGAGGGCATCCAATGGAAGGAAAGGCATTTATGGGTAGAGGTTTTAGATGATTATTTCAGACCTTCCCTTTCATATAAGCCTTGGCTTGTTCATCTTCACACACACATCTAGTCCTGGCTCTTCCCATGTGACTGGAAATCATACCACCCATTCTTGGTCTCAGTTCCTTTGCCTTCTTTCCAGGCTCTGGAGTTTCTCTCATCTCTGAAATTACATGACAAATCTGTTTGTAGGGGATGGATAGGAGCTTGAGGAGGCTTCCTCCCTGATCTAGGTTTCTTCAGCTACTGGTGTGTGTGGCCCAATCCTGCTCCCCTTGTCTTGTGCATGCTGTACTGGCAACTTAGCCTCCTCCATTGTGCTTTTTATTTATCCCCGTTACCTCCACCTGACTCAAGACTTGCAGAAGGCAATCAGCAAGTTTACTGAAGGTCCTCAAAGGGCTTCAGGTCTGTTTTAACACCCCCACGTCTTGAAAAGAGAAGGAGTCCCGTCTTGGCTACACATCCCATGAGAAACAAGGCTCCAGGGACTGTATAAGCGGAAACTGCTGCCCGAAGGAAGAAATCTAGGGGTGAAGGATGGTCCTTCTCGGGTTCTAGAAGCTCAGATGCCAGACACACGGCCCTGTCCAAAACGAGATTAGCAAGGAAGGTAAGGAAGTCGCCAGCTAACCGTCACGGCTTTTGGATCCAGCAGGGTACAGGGCGCTGAGGAGTGCCCAGAGAGCACTCCACGCCCGGGCTTGCGCCTCTATTCCCGGACATACGGTCTTGTCGCCGGGAGACCGAACCTCTCACACACTCCGAGGCGGGTGGCGCAGCTCTGGGAAGGCGCTTGTGGGCCTCGGCGACTCGGCCGTGACAGGGCCTAGAGCAGAGGGAGGGGAGCTCCGGGCCCGACGACTTCAATCCATCCCCACGGCGCCCCAGCTCTGTGACTCACCCGAACTCCACCTCCACTGACAAGGGCGCCGCCATGTTGAGGTAGCCGAACTCACAGGAAATTCCCCTCAACTTCCGGCGCTTCCGCCCCACTTCCGGTTGCCGCGGACGGAAGAGGCGGTGCCTAGGGAGCCATCCCTCCTCAGCTATTGGAGGAAGGCCGGGAGCGAGGACCCGAGGGCAGGTCACGGCGCTGTTGGAGGCTCTAGGCTTGGTCTTCGGGTGCGTTTTAGGGACGGGGCTCAGGGGGCGGGGGAGGTGGGGCAGCGGCTCTTGGGAGCTACGGCGCGAGCGCGGGAGGCGGGAGGGCATCCTTGCGCAGTACCTGTGAACCACGTTATTGGTTATCTTGGAAAAAGTTACAAATGTCTTCGTAAGCCCGCACACCATTTGGGTGAGCCCGTCGGTTCGTCTTGGCTTGATTTGAGTTATAAGTGACTGCAAATCTATTTCCAGCCCAGCAGTCGCTCCTGAGCTATTTTTTTTTTAATTTTTTAGATTTATTTATGATAGTCACACACAGAGAGAGAGAGAGAGAGGCGAGACACAGGCAGAGGGAGAAGCAGGCTCCATGCAGGGAGCCCGATGTGGGACTCGATCCCGCGTCTCCAGGATCGTGCCCTGGGCCAAAGGCAGGCCCGCTCCTGAGCTATTGAGCCCCTATCCAGCGGCCCCTTTGGTTATTGATTTGGGTTTTACTCTTTAAACAGATAATTTATCGCACGATCTCTGTGCACCGGGCATCTTGGTCAGTGCTTCACGTGCAAATACAAAATCTGAAACCGAAAGAAGTGATCTGAAGTTACAGGAGCTTCGAAAACAAACTGGGCTGTACCCTAGCTGTGCTCTCAAGCCTGAGTACAGGAGGTGGATGTGATGGGGAGAGAAATCTCCGGGAGCATTCCAGTGAGGAGAACAGAAGATGCAGAGCCTCTGGGTGGGAGACTCTGCGGGAGCACCCCAGGAGAAGAAGGTGGAAGTTGGGGAACAGAGGGCCTGATAAAAATGAGGGTAGAAAGGGGGCGGGGGCCAAATCATACCTTGGGAGCTGGGTAAGAACTTCAGTCTGTCCTAAGGGTAGGGGGAGACTTTTGCAAGGTTTGCAGAGGGGGGACATTTCAACTGTTTTAAAATAACCTTCCAGGCATCTGGGTGGCTCAGTGGTTGAGCATCTGCCTTTGGCTCAGTTTGTAATCCCCAGGTCCTGGGATCAAGTCCTGAATCAGGCTCCCTGCAAGAGCCTGCTTCTCCCTCTGTCTACATCTCTGCCTTTTTCTGTGTCTCTCATGAATAAATAAATCTTTATAAATAAATAAATAAATAAATAAATAAATAAATAAATCCTTACTGGGGCATCTGGGTGGCTCAGTTGGTTGAGCAACAGGTTAATTTTGGCCCAAGTTGTGATGTCAGGGTCCTGAGATCAGGCTCCAAGCTCAGTGGGTGTCTGCTTGAGATTCTCTCTCCCTCTCCCTGTGCCCTCTCCTCCATTCTTGCACGAACACTCATAAATAAATCTAAAAAAAAAAAAAAAACCAAAACCAAAAAACCCCTAAAAAGGTAAAGTATCCTTACTTGCTGCAGTGTGAATGATTTGAAGGGGATCAAGGAAGAAAATGGGAGACCACTGGAGCCTGTTACAAAAGCTCCAGAGAAATGGAGTAAAGCAGATGTCCCAGACTTTCTTTTTCTTTCTTTCTTTTTTTTTTTTTTTTAAGATTTTATATATTCATGAAAGACCAAGGCAGAGAGAGAAACAGGCTCCGCACAGGAAGCCCGATGCTGGACTCGATCCCAGGTCTCCAGGATCACACCCTGGGCCAAAGGCGGCGCTAAACCGCTGAGCCACTCAGGCTGCCCTCCCAGACTGTCTAAACCACACTTCCAAATTGAACTCAGCATTGGTAGGCGTATGGTGGGGTAGCCTGATAGTTGGTGGTGGAATGCCAGAATGATTAAGAGCTAGTTCAGGGTGCCTGCTTGGCATAGTAGGTTAGGCTCTTGATTTTTTGGCTTGGGCCATGACCTCAGGGTTCTGAGAATGAATTCTGGGTCAGGCTCTGCACTCAGTGAAGAGTCTTCTTGAGACTCTCCCTTTTCCTCTGCCCCTTCCCCAGCTCATTTTCTTTCTCTCTCTTTCTAAAACAAGTAAAATCTAAAAGAAGGAAAAGAAAGAAAAAGAGCCAGGAATTCAACTGCCATCTTTATATCCAGGTCCCACCACTTCCTACTTGTTTATTTTAATATAGTTTTCTTTTTAAAATCTTATTTATTTTTTAAAATTTTATTTATTCATGAGAGACAGAGAGAAAGAGACAGAGGCAGAGACAGGCAGAGGGAGAAGCAGGCTCCATGCTGGGAAAGCAATGTGGGATTTGGTCCTGGGACTCCAGGATCACACCCTGAGCCAAAAGCAGTTCAACTGCTGAGCCACCCAGGTGTCCCCTAGCTGTTTTCTTTAAGTAAGTCCCTTAAGTTACATGTTTGTGCCTCAGTTTCGTCTGTAAAATGGGGATAACAACAACAAACCCCTAACTCATAGGGTTGTAGCCAGAACTGAATGAGTTCTTGGCACAGTGCCTCCTTCCCTAAAATGGGCCCTCTCCTGTGTTTCCCGTTTCAAGGATACCATTGCCATCCACTGAAATACTCAAGCAAGAAGTTGGACATTGTTCTTCATTCTGTCCCATATTCAAATAGTCACTGATTTGGATTCATCTCTCATTTAAGCTAATTTTGCAACCCTCAAAATCTTCCACCACCACCACTACTCTCTGGTCCCCGTACCTGCTTCCTCTCTGCTTGCCTGCCCCCTACATCTCTCACTCTGGCCTTGGCTTCATTGTGCAGTCTGTCTCTGGATAGCCCTGAGCCATTTCAATGTATTAGGCACTGTTCCAGGACCCTGGCAAAGTGAAGACAAATGAGACACAGCCCTGGTCATCACAGAACACAAAGGAATCCTGGGGCAAATGGAAAGGCCCCACATTTACCCTGCTGTGTGGGTTGGTCACTTCCCCTCTCTGGAATTCAGTTTCCCCCATCAATAAAGAATGTTGGGGACCAAATGATCTATGGTCCTTCCAGCAATATTCTAAAATTCTGCTAGACCCAGCTACTCCAGGGCAGAAATCTTGCCTGATTCATCTTTGATCCTTGGCTTGTAGTAAAGGAGTTTTATTTGCTAAATGCTTACTGAATGAGTGAGTGAATGAGTGAACACACATCACTCCCCGGCTCAAAGTCATTCACTGGCTTCTCTTTGCCAACAAGATAAGGGCTTTCCCAGAAAGTATTCAGAGCCCCTGAGCATCTGATCTCGACTGGCCTCTATGAATTGAATATCCTCTCACCTGGGGAACTGCCCCCTCCTGGGGCTGGAACCTGAGAGCAAGGGAGCATGGTTTCCTCCAGCTGACATTTAATGAGCATCTATTAAGTGCCAGCCCAGTGCTGGTGCTGGGAACAAAACAGCAAACAAAACCAACAGGTCCCTGCCTTTCTTCTGATACTGTTGGAGAAGACACAGATGTAAAAATGGACCACACAGTGTGATCAGTAATATAAAGGAGGAACATGGGGCCCTGTGGGGGCTGGAGGAGCCCCCTAATCCAGCCCTGGGATTAGGGAAGGCTTCCCAGAAGTCACACCTCAGCCCAAATCCAAAGGAACTGTGGGAGGGAGAGGGCACCTAGGCAGCCGGGAAGAGGCATCTTCCCACATCTCAACAGGCAGGAGTTCTTGTCTTCTTGCATAGTCTCAAAGACTGGGAGCTTGCTTCTGGGTAAATCAGCCCATTCTGTGAATGCCTGGGTCTCAGAACGTCCTTCCTTCTGACCCCAAGCCTACCCCCCACTCAACCTCTTAATTAGTAATAATATTAGTGTAACATATTCAAAGTGTATTTATGGAACGCCCACCTTACACCTGACAGGTGCTTAACATGCACTATCTGATTGCTCACAGGGACTACTGTTATCCCCACCGTCCAAATGAGAAAACTGAGGCTCAGAACCAGTGGTTTGCTCATGTCCCCTAAGTGTTGGGCCTCAACCTCAGGTAGTACCTTCAGCATCACTGACCCTGGTGGCCTCCCATTGGATCAGGCTCACCCAAACACCTTCCCCTGGGATCCACGCAGAAGAGGGGCTTGGGCCCCATCCCCAGTCCCCTCAAGCAGGCCGGCCAGCCCAGGCGTCGGCCTCCAGCCCCTCAGAAGCAACTAGGGAAACAATGGCAGGGTCGGCGGGGGAGGCGAGGGCGCGGGTGCCCCCCTGCCTGCCGCCCTTTGTCTTCCCGCCTGCTCCCCTCGTGCGCCCCGGGAGGCTGGGAGGCGCCTCGCGCAGGCTTCCTCCTCCCATTCTTGTGCTAATTGGGTGTCAAGCTGAGATCAGTGAGAAAGAAATCCGCCCCGGCTCGGGTTAAACTGCCGCCAAAGACGAGGGCTGAGCCCAGAATATCATTAGGCTGGGAGGAAGCAGGGCCCCCCTCCTCGGGGGGAGGGGCCGTCCACGCATTCAGGCCCCTTTGAAAGTCACTTGGTCACCCCCTCCCTTGCTGCTGCTGCTTCAATGGGCCTCTCGGAGGTATTTAACCTTCTTCCCAGGGATTGAAAGTGATACGCCAAGCACCGGCCTGGTCAGCCACTTGCCTGTCCTGAGGGCGGTAGGACCTCCGGGGATGCTCAAGGCAGGCTCCTTCCATTCCAGCCTTCCCCCGGCACTGTTGCAGATGGGAACACTGAGGCTCTGGGAAGGGGGTTTGCATACCAGCCCTGCCATTCACAGGCTCTGTGGTCCTCCACAAGACTGCTTCCCTGAGCCTCAGATTTCTCATCTGTGGCGATGAGTGGAGATGAAAATAGTAGCAGCTTTGCGTTATGGATTTAATGAACCCAAGTTCTTGGGTTCATTCAGCAAAGCACGTTGCAAAGCTGCAAAGCACCTGGCACATAGGAGGGGCTCCATCCGCGGTGGCCATTAGCAAGTCTAAGGAAGTGGATCTGACCCGATGCTGGGACCTCCTAGCATAGCTCCTGGTCTCTGGAAGTGTGCAAGTACAAGTGCTCTCAAAGGACTAATTTTTCATCTGGCTTCAGCTCTTCTCCATCCCCAACCTGCACTCCCTGCAGCCTCACTGCTTGCTGTAATCTGTCCCACTCACCCTGTATTTCCAGGCCTTTACATTTTTCTGCTAATCTTGTCCCTCCAATTCTTGGATAACTCTTTGTTGAAAAGCCTCTCTGACCAGGAAACATGACCACCAGGGCACTGGGTTAGTAGCTGCAGCTAACCACACACTCTCTGCTTCTTTACTCACTAGCTTCCAGTCCCCTGTCTCCAGATGGTGGCTCCCGAGATCTGTCTTGCTCACTAAGCACCACCTCTGCCCCCTGCCCCCAGCCCCATGTAGGCCTTTAGAATCAGCTCCATAGATGAACTTGACACAGTACTTTGTAAACTGTGAAACACCATATAAACGTCAGGAATGTCCAATAAACAACAGCTAACGTTAACCTCACAAGCACATATTGAGCATCTACTCCATAATGACTCACACAGCGGTGCTTGAGGATGACCAGAGGCAGATGCTAGAGCTCCCAAGGCCCTTCAGGGGTAGGGGGAACAGTGTGGAAGTGGTCAACTCAGGCCTAGTCTGGGGTCTTGACACCTGAATATATATATATATATTTTTTTTTAATCTTGTAACTGCTACATACTGAGCAGATAGCAGCACCAGACTGCGTGTTTAGAGATCTCCAGGCACAATGCATGTTCACAGCTATCCGAGATCTCCATTTACAGAAGAAACTGAGGCTTAGCCTGGTGAATGGACTTGAATACATCTGTTCAAGCTGGAGCTTTTAACTGCCACGGTATACTGCCTTTTGGTAGTTGTGTTGAACCTCAAGGAAGGATGCCCCTCCGCCCAAGGCAGGGGTGGGGTGGGCACTAGCCCATTGGAAAGCACTCACTCCCTGCGAAGGGTTAAAGACACAAAGCCTTGCTGTCAGTCAGGTCCAGGACCTTAGAAGTCTGACCCTGGGCCCTAAAGTCCCGCCATGGGGCGCTACCTGCCTGGGCCAGATCTCAGCGCCTCCTTCCCACTTTTATTGGAGGCTGACCGCTCAGGGCCAAGATGGGATTCTCCAAGCTCTGCATGCCCTCTGCTGGCCACACTGGGACACTGCAGCCGTGACGGTCTCCCTCCGCCTTAAACCCCTTCAGCACCTCTCCAAGGGCTCTACTCCAGCTCTGCCTCCCACTGGCCCCCAAGAGCAGCATCAGACTCCTCTATCTGAATCAAAGTCACTCCCCCAGGGGGCATCCTAAATCTCATCCCGGCCCCCTCCAACTGGGCCTTCAGCTGCAGGCCTAGGGTGGGGCCCACAGTTGGCTCGGGTGGAATGAAAGCTCTTTTGGCTTTGCCTTGGCCTGCTGCACCAGGAGGCAGTAGGGCAGCAGGAAGTAACAGGGGCTCCGGTTTGCATTCTAGCCCCCCCCCCCCCCCCCCGCTGTGTGACCTCAGCAAGTGACAGACCCTGGGGAAGCTTACATAGCAAAGATAACTGCCATAGGCTGGGTTGGACCCCTTTTCCAACAGGCTGTGTGTTTCCAGCCTGGGTGTGACTCCAGCGATGGGGCCTAGGAGACAGCTGGCTCTCCACGGGCACTGCTGGTGCTGCAGCCCCGGGAACATCACTGAGCTTTTCTGGACTCTGCCAGAGTTGGTCAGGCAGCCCTGCTCTGGCTCACACAGCCCCAGAACCCTGGTGATATGTGCCCCAGGCAAAGGGAACAGCACTCTCAAGCATCTGGAGATGGGATCTGCCCCTGGGTCAGGGTTTTCTCCCTCAAAAGCTCTGAAGGGCCCTTTCCTCAAAATGTGTACCTGTATTCTCTGAATCCTCCTGACTCAGATGGGAAGACTGAGTCACTTGCCCTAGCCCACAAACTCAGAAGTGATACAGCTGCTTTGGACTTTCGAGTTCATGCTATTTAAATACCTTGTGAACTCACTGATGGCATCTTACCTGCTGGATCCCTAAGTCTGAACAAGTAAATGGGCTGGAGGGGCAGGAGGTGGGGCCCGAGCAGGTGGGGTGAGCTCAGGTGGCATGCACACAGGCTAGGGTAGGGGGAGTCAAGGCAGTTTATTGGCCCCTGAGCGATGCCCCCACCCCCACCCCTTCTCTCATAGCCAGCCCAGGACTGAGATGGAGAAAGTAACATGGACAGACCTACAAGGAGAAAGGTCCCGCCCAAGAGGTGGCCAAGCAGCCACCTAGGAGAGGAGGATGGTGGTGGGGCACTCAGTCCAGGCTGCCTGCTGCAGGTCGGGGTCCTCCTCCTATGGTCCTGGAGGTGCAGGCAATCTTGAGTGACACTGGAAAAGCTCTGGGGCCAGTATCCTCATGGCCACCTGATCAATAGCCACTGTAGGCCCTGCCCACTCTGCTGCCTTCCTGAGTCTGGGGGCTTTGGGCCTCGTCCCATTTACAAGCTCCCTGCTCTCTGGGGAGTATTTGGCGACGCTCCACCTGCCCCTGCCCTGACCCAAGACATCATCCTGAGGGACCCAGTCTGTCTCAGCCTGGGGCCTGGTGGCCCCACCTGCCTTGAAGACATAACATGGACTTGAGGCTTTCACAGAAAGCCTCATGATGGGCAGGAGGAGGCGGCAGTGAGTCACTTGGCAGTTTTGAGGGGGAGGGGGTCAGCACCTCGGGGTGGAGGTGCTGGGCCCTGCTTGCTTTGGTCTAGCATTGCCCATGACCCCTCTGGGGTGGGAGCTGGGGCTCTGGATCCAGCACCCGCTGGCCCTTAGAGGGAGTCAGGACAAATCACAGCTTCTCCTCGCCCGCCTGGATGCGGGCGTAGGCCTTCTGGTCCAGCGGGACGTAGCGGCCCTTCCGGGCATCCAGGTAAAACAGTGGGTCTCTCACAACTGCCGGGTTAAAACCTTCCTTCCGAAGCTCCATCTTCTGTAGCTTGAAGGTCCCTGAGGGAGTAGAGAGGATGAGTCAGACGGTACAGGGCAGGGGGCCTGAAGTTGGAGGGATGGAGGAGGAGGGCTGGGGAGAGCATGGGAATGGGCACAGACCACAGCGGAGCACAGCCCTTGCTTTGCAAAGGCAGATCCAGCTGTTGTATTACTACTGCTGCTCAGAGCAGCCCTGGCGCAAGGGCAGGAGGGCATGGTAGCACTACTTGCCTTCTTGCAGCTAGGGAAACTGAGAATCGAAGAAGGGAAAAGATCCACACACCCTGAATGACAGCAGAGGGAGGGCCAGAACCTGGGCTTTCAGTGCTCTGAGAACCTCCAGGCACAGGCATGAGCTCATCTAATGTGCACACGAATCCCAGAGGCAGGTGCTCCACCATATTCTATGGGTTCTACAGTGCACATGTTTTTGGCTTCTAACATATGTCAAATAGTTTCAACAGCAATGTCTTCTCAGTCATAAGTCACAGAAGTGGGCAGCCCCAGTGGCGCAGTGGTTTAGCACCGCCTGCAGCCCGGGATGTGATCCTGGAGACCTGGGATGGAGTCCCACGTTGGGCTCCCTGCATGGAGCCTGTTTCTCCCTCTGCCTGTGTCTCTGCCTCTCTCTCTCTCTGAATAAATAAATAAATCTTAAAAAAAAAAAGTCACAGAAGTTACACAAGTCTTGGTCACTGGCATCATCCCACTGGAGAGATGAGAAGACTGGTGTGGGGAGGCACATACCTGTGTCAATGCCACACAGCTAATAAGTGCAGGAGCTGGGATTTGAACCCTGGTATGAGAGATTGCTAGAAGTGGCCAGGTTCCTTCCTTACCTGGACACACACTCCACTGCCTTGTGGCTTGGTCATTTCTCTCAACAAGAGCTAGAGTCTTTCTCACCCTCCACCTGAATCTAACTGGCCTTGTGACTTGCTTTGACCAAAAGAACATGGGAGTTCTGAGAGTTGAGGCCTTGGAGGCCCTGCAGCTTCCACTCCAGGAGGGGGCTGCCTGGCACCAGTTTAGTCTCTGAAGGGTGAGGAGCCACCAGAGTAGAGGGGAAACATCCCAGGAATGCCCCCTGGACTGGCACTATCCAATACGATAGCCACTGGCCATATGGGCCTATATACATGTAACTGAAATGAAGAAAAATGTCAACTTCACTTCCTCAGTCAACTGGTCCCAGTTCAAATGCTCAATGGTTACATGGGGCTTGAGGCTGCAGTGTTGGTCAGCAGGCACATAGGACATCATCATCATTGCAGACAGCTCTGCTGGACAGTGCTGCAGAAGCAACCAGTGGGGAGCCAGACAAGCGAGTAAGGACACTCTAGCCCTTCCAGCCCTAGCTGAGTCACAAGTGATGGCAGTTGATCCATCAACAGAAGAACCGCTCAACTGAACTTAACCCCAATCGCTGACCCACAAGCAAGGGGGGAAAAAAAAGGCTGCCTTAAGGGACGTTTGTTCTGGAGCAAAACCTCTGAAACATGCTGGCTTCCCTGCCTCTCCTACACAGAGAAGTCAGCTGTCACCCAAACCTCAGGAGCTCCCAGCCTCAATCATGAGCCTGGCACCAGTGTCCCCATTAGACCTGCTTCAGGGGCTCCCAGGAGCCTATCACCTGACAGGGGCTGACATGACCAGTACAAGGGAGGTGGCCCAAGGCTGAGCAGTTAGTGAGCCTGACATAGTCCAGGCCCTCCCCAGCCCAGTCTTCCCCACTTGGCCTCTCTGCCCCACCTGACACCGCTACCCACAGCTTGGCTCCAGCTTTGAGCTTTGGGGGCCTCCTTTCCTTCCCCTTGTGCCCAAGTGCCCTTCTGGCTTAGGGACCAGCCCGGAATGCCTCCCCTGTAAAGCCTACCCTTTCATTCAGGTCTCATCTCAAAGATCACCTCCTCAGGGGAGCCTCCCAGGCACCCCATGTCCCCTTTGTTTGCTTTTCTGTCAGTTCAGTTTGTATTCTATTCTTTGCCCTTGGAATGCCTTGTCCTGTGCTGCCTCTCCTACTGCTACAGAGAAACTCCAAGATGGCAAAGGTCCCATCAGAACTTGTCACTTCTATCCCTAAAAGGCCTAGCATGGAGCCTAGCAGGCACACAATAGTTACTCAGTAAACATTCGTACCACTAATGGATATTTGAACCTTCTGTCTCTGACGGCTCGGCCCACTTGCTTGTATACAGAGAGGTGTGTTTACCAATGACACAGCAATGCTGTGGGAGAAGGGCAAGGGACAGCCCCCCAGGATCTCTCCAAAGGAACCAAGAAAGGGGCACAGGCCTGGAACCCGTGAGCTGGAGCAAGGGAGAGGACACACCTGTTTGTTTTGTTTTGTTTTGTTTTAAAGATTTCATTTATTTATTTGAGAGAGAGAGTGTGTGAGCATGAGTGTGTGTGGGGGGGAGGATATGGGTAGAAGGAGAGAGAGAAGCAGGCTCCCCGCAGAGCAGGGAGCCCAACACGGGAGGCTCAATCCCAGGACCCCAGGATCATGACCTGAGCCAAAGGCAGACACCTGACTGACTGAGCCACCCTGGAGCCCCGGGAACATACCTGTTTTGTGCAGCTCAGGAAGGAAGCGCAGGAAGATGGGGCGGGCGTACAGGGGCAGCTCCTTCTCTAAGAGCTGTGCAAAGTGCTCCAGGTCACAGCTGCCAGCAGAGTTGGCCACAGCAGCCATTCCAGCCCGGCCCTCAGTTCCTGGGGGTGGCAGCATGGACAGTGAGGTGGCAGTGACCCCTGGCAGTGCCTCCCCATACACACCTGGCACCTCCCAGTGCCCCATAGGTACCTGGCACCTCGACACCATACACTGCCACATCGGTCATGTCCAGCAGGCGGCTGAGTGTGCCCTCCACCTCTGTGGTGGATACATTCTCCCCTTTCCAGCGGAACGTGTCTCCTGTGCGGTCTCGGAAGTACAGGTAGCCCAGCTCATCCATCACCAGCACATCACCTGGGGGGGGGGGGGTGCCATATGAGCAGGGCTTGGGCCAGTCGACCATGTGGGACCCCAAGATCTCTTGACAAGGAGGGCTGGAACCGAACTGGGGCAGTCTGGGCAGTATTCTCCAAAGGTGGGAGAGGGCCCCTTCATTCCTCTCCACCCTGCCCACCTCAAAGGGGCTAGTGCCCACCCACCAGTGAGGTAGGCCTGGTCCCCCTTTTGGAAAACGTCCTTGGCGATCTTCTTATTGCTGGCACCCTGGTTCAGATAGCCATCAAAGCGCCGCAGGGGGTCCTGCTGAATGATGCGGCCCACTAGCTGGCCTGGCTCACCTGGGGGCAGAGAAAGAGGGGCACCTTTACCTTGGTGGCCTCCTCTACCAGTTCCCCACCCCAAATTCACCCTGAATCTCGATGTGACTTTTGGTCACAGTGCTTCCCACAGAAATGCTATGGGCTCTGGTGTAGAAGCCCTGAGGGCAGGGAGCTTCTCCTGGTGGGTCTGATGGGCACAAAGGCACTCAGTAATGTCTGGAGAGTAGATGGAGAGATGAACAATACGAAAAGGTGGCCAAGCTCTGTGTAGACAGCCTGACTAAAGCCAGCACTCATTGGTCCCTTGGCTCTGCTCAAAGAGGCATACGTTCTTCAGCATGCATGATCCCCAGAGCAACCCCAGGATGCAGTGTTGCCATCAGCCTCACTTGCAGATGAGGGGACTCAGGCACAGAGCTAAGGAGCTGAGCTAGGATTAATCCCAGGGTCCTCCACACAACAGTGACTCAATGGACTGACAGAGGGGATGAGGAATGGAAGGACGGATGGACGAAGATATAAATGACTTGTGGCCCTAAAAGAAGAGCCAAGTGACAGCCACTGGTCAGAAAAGGGCTCCCCACTCAGCCCAGTCCCATCTCCTCCCAGGCCAAACTCTCCTGCTCTGACTCCACTTCCAACCCTGGGACAGACCTGGCTGGCAGGGAAGGCAGACACCATTGGGCCCCCGGATCAGTTCCATGGTGTCCTCGTTGACTCGTACCAGCCGGATGGGGTACACAAAGGACAGGATGCGGCTGTTGAAGCCACAGGCCCCCACCTGCAAAGGCCAAGACTTGGGCCTGGGCTCTCCCGCCACCAGCCTGAGGCTGGACAATGGTGGGGAGCCTGGTGCCCACACTCCCACAACTGCCCTGCCCCAACCAGACAGCAGGGTCTCCAGTGCCCACACTCCTAGCCGGACCTGCCCACCCTCCACAGCCCCGCTGCCCACCTGGCTGTCGAAGTTGCCCACACTGCAGTTACATTCAGTGGCCCCATAGAACTCAGCCACTTGGGGGATGTGGAAACGGCTAGAAAAGTCGGTCCAGATGGACTGGCGGAGGCCGTTGCCAAGTGCCATGCGCACCCGATGCTGGTGTTCCGCTTCCCGGGGCGGCTGGTTCAGGAGGTAGCGGCACAGCTCGCCGATGTACTGCACAATCTGGGGGTGGACCTGGTGTGAGGGTGGCCCTCGGCTGCTCCCTCCTGCCCTCCCAATCCCGCGGACCTCAGTCTCCCCATCAGAACAACAGGAATGTTGCCCCCAAATGAGTGACGGGCTTCAGCTGCCAGACAGATGTCCCCATGTGGGGCTGGCAGGTCATGAGGGGTTGGGCGGCTCATCCTCTGCCCTTCTCACTTACTGTGCAGTTGTACTTGATACAGTCGTCCCAGAACCGGGAGGCTGAGAACTTCTTCCGGATCACCACTGTCATGCCATGGAGCAGGCACTGCCCTATTCCCACGATGTTCCCTAAAGGTGGAGGGCTGGGCCGTGAAGGTCAGGGAGCCGAGAGATCCCTCCTTCCAGAGCTTCCTCTTGCCCAGCCCACCTCCTCAAAGGCCCTTCCTCAGTCCCTCCTTCCTGTCCTGTTCCTCCAACACTAACTAATCACACCTCTCCCCTCATCAGACACCTCCCATAGTTCCCTGCTGCCTCCCCAGTGTGGGAACGAGTGCATGCTCCTCAGACTATCCCTGGGGGCCCTAGAGCTGGCCCCAAGCTCTTGCTCCTGTACCTGTAATGCTGCCATTCAGCTAGAGGGGGACCAAGCTAGCACTCCTGGCTTCTGCACCTCACATCTGCCTGACTTGGGAGCATCTCCTCCAGAAAGCCTTCCTGACCATCACTGGGCTCTTCTCTTGAGCTGAGCTCCTACTCCCTACCTGTCTTCATACTCACCATGCCATCTCTTATATTAGTCAGGTGAGTTCCCATCCTTCACCCTGCCCTAAACCCACACCTGACTCTAAGCACCTTGAGAGCAGGAACTATAATTATTCCATTTCTGTGTTTCTGTTCCTAAGCAGCAAGGCTGTGCATACCTGTGGAAATGAACTGGCTGGTCAGATTAGCCTGGGTGCCCTGTGGGACACAGCTGCACACATTGTGAGGCTGGTGTGGCCATCTTGGTTCAGAGATCCAGTCAATGGCCACATCTGAGTTTGAACCCACATTTGACTCCAAAATTCATGTGTTTCTACCCACAAGATGCTGCCTGCCAAGAGGGGTGGGGTTCCTGAGGCCCAGGGGCACCAGAGGCTGAGAAAATGGGCCCAGTGTTACCTGCTGAGTGGTAGAGGGGCAGGCAGTCATAGACAATGTCATCGGGCCGCATCCGGAATCCATAGTACACCAGGGCAGCCATGCGGTAATACCTGCGGGGGCGCAGAGAGAGTGCTTTGCAGGCCTCTGGGGAGGCAGGAGGAGGGGCTCCCGGGCCCTGCCACCCATCCCCAGCACCCACTACCCCCCAACCCCCGGCGTTTGCCCCTTACCTGCTATGTACCACAATGGCAGCTTTGGGCAGCCCTGTGGTGCCCGATGTGTAGATGTAGAAAAGCTTATCTAGAGAAAACAGACACATAAGTGGCTGTGAGAAAAGACAGCACAGGGCTGGGAAGACACTGGCTGCAGGGAGTAGGGTGCACAGAGAGCTTCTCCACTACAGATCATTTCTTTACCCCACCCTGATCCTAGATCAGGGACTGTCACGTTTGTTTGTTTGTTTGTTCTTTCTTTCTTTCTTTCTTTCTTTCTTTCTTTCTTTCTTTCTTTCCTTCCTCCCTCCCTCCCTTCCTCCCTTTCTTTCTTTTCTTTCTTTCTCTTTCTTTCTTTCTTTCTTTCTTTCTTTCTTTCTTTCTTTCTTTCTTTCTTTCTTTCTTTCTTTCTTTCTTTCTTTCTTTCAAGATTTTATTTATTTATTCATGAGAACACATACAGAGAGAGAGAGGCAGAGACACAGGCAGAGGGAGAAGCAGGCTCCATGCAGGGAGAGCCCGACGTCTGGAGCCTGGGTCTCCAGGATCATACCCTGGGCTGAAGGCGGCGCTAAACCGCTGAGCCACCCAGGCTGCCCTGTCACGTTAGTTTCTTTTTTTTTTTTTTAATTTTTATTTTTTTATGATAGTCACAGAGAGAGAGAGAGGCAGAGACACAGGCAGAGGGAGAAGCAGGCTCCACGCACCGGGAGCCCGACGTGGGATTCGATCCCAGGTCTCCAGGATCGCGCCGTGGGCCAAAGGCAGGCGCCAAACCGCTGCGCCACCCAGGGATCCCTCACGTTAGTTTCTATAGAGACTCGGGCCCACCAGGCTGGAGTAGAGTCCTAGGTCAGGAACATCATGTAAAACTGCATGTCATCCATCAACCATCTCATGCCCCCTGGATACCTGCTTATGCCAGCCCTTGGCTGGGCACCATGAAGACACCAGGCTGACCCAGCCAGAGACCCTGCCCTCAGGTAGCTTACAAAAGCACCCAGGAGGGGCGCCTAGGTAGCTCAGTAGATTAAGTGTGCCTTCAGCTCAGGTCATGATCCCAGGGTCCTGGGATTGAGCCCCACATTGGGCTCCCCACTCATTGGGAAGCCTGTTTCTCCCTCTCCCTATGCCTGCTGCTTCCCCTACTTATGCTCTCTCACTCTTTGCCAAATAAAATCTTAAAAAAAAAAAAAAAAGTACCCGGGAGACAAAATTCACATATGACAGAGATAAAATGACCACGATGCCAACAAAGACTGGTTCCTGAGCATTTCCTGTCACACCCGAGCTTTCCACTGTCTCATTTTCAATCCTCAAAGCCACTCCATAAAATCGGTTCCGTTACCACCCTCATTGTTAAGACTGTGGGAACCAAGGTTCAGAGAGAGGACAGCTCAGGTGCTCAGGGTCACAAGGGAAGCAGTGGGCTGAGGCATGAACTCAGTGCCAGCTCTGAGCCTCTGGGTGGTGTAGCAAACTGGGGGCTCCCCAGTGCAGAGTGGAGCAGAGGAGAGGCTGCAGGGTTGGAAGGCTGCCTGGAGGAAGGGATGAGGAGGCAGGGCAGCCTAGTGCAGAGAGAGGATTGCAGGCTGACAGGGGCTGGTACCAAATAGGTGCGGAGTTAATATTTAGAGGGTCTAGCCCCTGGCCCAACCCCAGCTGAAATTCAGACCCAGTGGTTTCCTAGGATCCATGTGACCCTGTACATGATGGATGGCAATGAAGGCTGGTTCACCAAGCTAAAGAATCAGGTTTTCTGGACTCCTGAGTTGCTGGCACCATGTCTTGCATCTTCATATACATCAGCTATACATCAGCCTTCAGAGTGACCCCATGGTCACTATACTCATCTTCCCAGTTGGAAAAAGGGAAGTGACAGGACTCACTCCAGGTCACACACCAAGTCTGCAGAAGAACCCAGGCCTCTGGCTCTGGGGCCAGCATTCTGTCCTGGGCCCATCTGAGAACCCCTCTGTGGGGTGGGAGGCCCACCTGTGAAGCCCTTGTCAGGACGACTGGGCAGGTGCTTGGGGGCATCTTCCAGGAGGGGGTCCAGGTGCTCCGTGCTGGCGGGCAGGGTGCTGGGCTCCCAGGGGCCAGAGCAGAAGAGGCTGAGCGAGGGGTCCAGGCTGGCTTGGATTTCAAAGATGGCTGCAGGGGAGACAGGGCCAATTAGCAGACAGACCAGGAAACTCATGTCCCCAGGACCTCTGCTTGTGTCAGAGCTGGCGTGTTGTCAAGGGGAGATCAGCTGTGTGTAGGGAAGAAGATGACTGAAGCACCTCAGCTCCCTAGTTGCTGGCTAAGTACATGGCAGATTCCTTGCGTGCGCTCTCCTGCTCACACAGCCCAGGAGGTAGGTACCAACAGAGACAGGCTCCAAGAATGGGAAGGCCTGCTCACAGCTAGAATGTGCTGGAGCTGGGACTCCAAGCTGGCTCTCTCACATGCCAAGGTCTGCGCCCTTCCACACTGTACCATGCACATCTGTGGAGTACCAGAGGTCAGCAGCCCCCAGCTTCTTCAGGTCCCCCCATGCACTATAGCTGTCTGGATGCTCACCTATGCTGGGCATAGGCCAGTCCTAGACCCCTCAGCTCTACTTCAGCCTCCCTATGGATCTGTCCAACCCTCTCCCCTCTCCCTTCGGGATCCTTCCTCTTCCCTTCTCCATATGTCAGTAACCTTCCCTGGCCATCATGCCAGGATGAAATCCTGCTTTGGTGTGACCTTAAGTGAGCTCCTCACACCACTCTGAATGTCAGTCTCCTCATCTGTAAAGCCAAGATGGCCATCCCTACCTCACCTGGCTTTATGAAGATTAGGGCTGCTTTTGTAAGGCACCAAGCTCTGTACTCAGTCAGTGCTCAATGTGGCAGCTAATAAAACATAAGCTCTGCAGGAGAGCAGAGGATACATTTTTTTTAAGATTATTTATTCATGAGAGATACAGAGAGAGAGAGAGAGAGAGAGAGGCAGAGACACAGGCAGAGGGAGAAGCAGGCTCCATGCAGGGAGAGCCCGACGTCTGGAGCCTGGGTCTCCAGGATCATACCCTGGGCTGAAGGTGGCGCTAAACCGCTGAGCCACCCGGGCTGCCCAGAGGATACATTCTTGTTCTCATTCTATAGATGAAGCAAATGAGGCCTAATTAGTCACAAGAATCGCTACCACTGCATCTGTGGGCTCACCTAGCATCAAGCACTGTTAGTACTTCTGGTGAAGTATCATCTTGAAAACAATATGTGGTAGGTACTACAGTGAGGAAACTGAGTCACAGACATTTCTAGTCTTAGTCAGGATCTCCAGCTTATAAGCAACAGAGCCCAGGCCATCTGATACCAGGGTTCATGTCCTTAACCCCTGAGCCACACACAGTTTCCCCCAGGCCTAGAGGGGGGCTGTGGTCTGGCAAGACCCTGTGGGACCTCTTGCTTGACCCCACAGCCCTGGGACTCACCTGGGGCCATCTCACTGCCAAAGATGAGGACCCGGGCCTGGGAGGTGGTCAAGCAGTGGCACAGGGCGTCCCGTCGGAGGTTAGTGTTGATGAGGGCCGCCTCCACGCCCAGCTTGGCCATGCCCAGCCACAGGCCCACAAACTCATTGCGGTTCTCCATGAAGAGGGCAGCTACATCACCCGAGGCCAGGCCCCGAGCCTGCAGAAAGTTGGCCACGCTGCTTGAGTAATCATCCAGCTGGCGGAAGGTCCAGTGGGTGTCTGTGCCCTCAAAGATCAAGGCTGTCTTGTCTGGGTGGCGCTGTACCGTAGAAGCAAACAAAATAGGCACTGTCCGCTGCTCCCGCAGGTACCGCCGGACCTTTGCCTTGACCTTCAGGAGTACCATGCCACCACTACATGGAAACAAGAAAGGGAGCTGTGACTGCTGGGGTGGGAGTGGGTGGTCCCAATACCCTGGTCCAGGTTGCCATCCCACAGGCCTGAGACTCCCGAGCCTGATCACTTGTAACACTCCCCTTTCCCAGCACCTGGGCGCCAGGCACCATGCCAGGCACCGACCCACTGATGCTGCACAGTAACTCCAGGGACTCGGGCGATAACTCCCTCCTCAGTACACGGGAGGAAAGGAGGCTCTGCAGGATCATAGCTCACCCGGAGTTCACAAGCTGAGATTAGGTCCCTGGTCCTCTCTGGCATCAGGGTTCAATGCCCAGGACTCAAGAAGCTCTGCTTTGAGTCTGCTGCTCTGTCAGAGCTTTCATGACTCTCAGGCCCAAGTCAAAAGTCTCAACTCATTTGAGATCCCCCACAGCCCTGTACTGCACCTCTTCGGACCCCTACCACAGTAAATAAGGGATAAGTTTGAGATTTGTTCAGTCTCCCTGTGAACCTATTGAGGGTAGGGCTCCATCTGTTTACCATCTGGTCCCTGGGGCCCCACTTAGTCCTGGGCCCAGAGCTTCACTAAATGCAGAACCATTTGGCAATATCTCCCTCTCCTGCCCTGCCCCTGCCCCATCTGACCTTTGAAAGTTCCTAGTTCCCTGAGTTCTATGCCTATTCAGATGTTGTGCCCTCTGGTTGGAATACCCTGCTCCCATCACCTGGAGGCGCCTCTTGAATACAGCTTTTTGTCCTCCAGGAGGCCTTCTCTGATTCCCCAAGGCCCTGGCCTGAAGCCATCTCTCCCTGCTCCACACTCCCACAGCTTTCTGCTACCACCCTTCCTGCAGTGGCCACTCAGAACCTCCTTTTACAATCAATTCAGATGACAAGTGCTGAGCTGCCTGTTTTGAGTGTGGGTCACTGTGCTGAACCGTGGGACACCACCTGTAAGCAAGACTGCCAGGGGCTCTGCCTGCACGGTTTTGTTAGTTTAGGGATTTACTGTATCTCCTTCTTATCTCCCTGACCAGTCTAAGCTGGGCCCAAGACTAGGTAGGTCTGCCTTGTTCCTCCCTGAGCTCCAGAGTCAGCCTGACGCCTGGCTCAGGGTAGGTAGCAGCAGGTGTTTCTGGTACAGAAGAGCCCTGTGAACCATAACTGACTTTCTTTGGGGAGTAGGTTCTCCAGATATCTGATTCAGGGCCCTGCTCTGAACTCTGTGCCCTTTCAGACTTATGGACAGGGTCCTTCCCACAGGGTTCCTCTTCATTCTCTTACAAGCCATAGCATGGCCTCAAGACCCTTTGTAGATGTCTTCTTCACACACCTGGTGTTCAGTGTACATTCTGGGCCCCTAAATCTGCCCTAAGCTCAACAGCACCAAGTTAGGGAGATCCCCTAGGACAACACTTTCACCTTGGAGGTGGAGATACCAGGTACCACTGCCAGGGGAAAGGGGTAGAGCAGAGGCTGCTCCTCTGGGGACCAGGGGGCCCTCTGCTCACAGAACTTTGGTCTGGAGAGATTTGGGGAAGTAGGAGACCCTAGGATGGGCTAGACCAGATACTCACAAGATATCACGCCTTATGGTCTTGACGAAGATGCGGACAAAACGCCAGCCTCCAGACCCCAGGTAGAGAAACAGCAGGGAGAACCCCACCTGGGTCCAAGGCAGTTTCAGCACCAGTTTGGAGAACAGCAGCACCCCCACCAGAGACGCCCCGAGCAGCATTGTGGTCTGTGGGCACAGTATAGTCAGTGGAGCCAAATGTCTATGTCCCTTACCTCCTAGCCCAGGCAGCCACTATGATCCCAGGGGTCAACCCGTAGTGAGGCTTAGCCATGCTGAGTAGGTAGCTGAGGATGGGGACCCTTTCCAGGGCTGTTTTGAAGGGAAGGCTAGAGGGGAGGAACTTGAGATGAGGAGTTCCATGGCTAAGAGGCAGAGGCCGGGTTCTAGCCCCTTAGTCCCATCCCCTCCTCTAACTACCCCCATCACCTTGGGTAAATTCCTTTCCTACTTTAGGCTTTAGTCTCCCCCTCTGTGTTAGGGGTATAGTGAGAATTGCTCTCGGAAGCCCTTCCAGCCCAAACAGGATGGTCCACTTTCCTGATATCCAGGATCTCTAAGCAATATGGCTTGGAGGGGGATATTAACTTAAGTGTCTCTGGTTTGACTCCTCATCCAAAGACCCAAGGAGGTTCTCTGGATGACTAGGCCAAGCCACAACACCCTAAAGGGCAGCTTCCTGGTAAGGGGCCTGGCTCAGTCCCAGCCCACAAACCCGGATAGTGCCATGTCTCTGCTGGCCCACAGAGGGCGACAGAGCAAACAGGTTAGAGCTTGGAGGTGCCTGAGAGGTGACCGCCTAGAGGGGAAAGGTGATTAAGGGAGCAGGAGGGCCCTGAAGTCACCCCGAACAAACACAGTTGGCCAGCCATTGAGATGACTCTGTGGGGACTGGCCTATAGGGGAAGGGGAATGGCTTGACTAGACGGAGATTAGGAAGGACTCTTAGTCTCTACTCCTGGCGTTTTAGGTACTTGCTCAAGAGGCAGCAGATGGGACTCAGTTTTCTTTCAGGGTTCTATTCCTGGGGAGGAGGTGAAGGTCATGGCTCTAATGGAGCCTGACAGTCTCCAAGCCAGGATGGAGACATGGTCTGGACCATCTCCTCCCTTCTCCACATGAAAAGCAAAAACAAGGAGGGGGACAAAATCAGCGCTCCCATATCCAATGCCGAGATCTCTAAGGTCCTCAGACCTCTGGGCTCCCAGAGCCGGCCAGGACAGAGAACAGGAACCCGTCCCGGAAGGCTGGGGGATGGGACGAGAAGGGAAGGGGATGCCCACAGCCCTCGGGCCCCCGTCCCAGGTCACTGCGAACCGCCTTCGCTTCTGAGCAGCCAGGGCAGCAGAGCGCCCGGCCAGGACTTAGAGCAGCAGGGCGCGCCCCTCACCCCAGCCCGCCCCACCACCTCCCCAGGACTCAGCCGGGCACATTCCCTGCCCGGGACCCACTGACCTGGCCTATGCTCACCCGGTGTTGGCCCCGCCGCGCGGCGCCCAGTCCAGACGCGGCCTGGCTGCGGCAGCGTAGTGGGGAGCGCGGGGGGCATCAGCCGCCCCTGGGCGCGCAGACCCAGGACTCAGCAGAGCTTCGCCGGCTCTGCGCCCTGCATGGCCCGGCCGCCCGGCCAGCCCCGCCCGCAGCCCGGCCCCGCCCGCCCGCGGCGCTCCTCCCCCGCCCGCCTTCTGCAACCCAAACCGGCTGCGCGAGGCCACAGCACCGCCTCTCGCGCCTTCCCCGCGGCGGAAGAGCCGCAGAGACCTCGGCACCGCGCAGCCCCAACGCGCCCGACGCCTGCCGGCCCAGCCCGCCCTGCGCGCGCGAGGGCTCGGGCGGCGCCCCGCGCGGCACGCTGGGAGTTGTAGTCCGCGCCGCGCAGCCCCGCCCCACCGCGGAGACCCCGGGGTGGGAAGGAGACCCGCGGGCTGGGTTTGGGCCCAGAGCCGGCAATCCCCTGGCTTTCGCACGTGGTGGGGAGCACCCCCGCCCGCAGCGTGGGCGGAGAATCCGGAGAACGCGAGCAGAGATGGGCAGAGTTCCAAAAAGGCTAACGCTACACCTAGAAGAACGCTAAAAGGGTGGTGTAGACACAGAGGTGAACCGGGAGTTTCAAGTAGCTGGCTCTGTGGCGCAATGGATAGCGCATTGGACTTCTAGCCGATCGGGGTGTGGTGATTCAAAGGTTGTGGGTTCGAGTCCCACCAGAGTCGAATTTTGATAGCTCCTCCCTCACTTTCATGGGGATATTTTACAGCCTCCAGTACCTTCACATGGTTCAGAAAATTTGCAGACTTGAGGCTGGCACCTGTGTATCTGGGACGGCAGTAAACGTGATGTCAGGTTCCTGCCCAGGAATCCTTTCTCATCCCTGGTATCTTGTAAGCACTGTGGCACACCTAGTGGTACAAAGGGCATGGAGCTGAAGATCTGTACCTAACTGGCCTCTGATCGCTCTGACCTTGCAGCAAATCAACTAACTTCTAAGCCTACGACTGTATTTGTCTTGCTACCTGCCAAATCCTTGGCCATTGGCCAGCTCCCCAGCCTTGTGTGGCTCTGGGCCTCTGAAAACCTGGTTCCTTGATAATTAAACACGTTGGACATCCACAATTGCCACTTATCTTTTTTTTTTTTTTTTTTAGATTTTATTTATTTATTTGAGAGAATGTGAGCAGGGGAGGAACAAAGGGAGAGGGGCCAGCAGACACTCTGTGCTCAGTGTGGACCCTAAGGTGGACTTCCATCTCACAAACCTGAGATCATGACCTGAGTGGAAATCAAGAGGCACAACTGACTGAGCCACCCAGGAGCCCCACCACTTATCCTTAAATACATCCCCTAATTCCTTAGTCCAGTGGGAAGTCCTTAAAGGGGAGGGGAGGGGCAGTTTTCAGGGTCTAGTCCTTGGGATTAAAAATGAAATTTTCATCTGAGAAGTACTTGGCAGAGTATAAAGTGCATCCTTTTGGGGAACCTAGGTAAGTTAAAGCTCTACCTCCCCCATGGCTATTATATTCAGGAGGCAGTGTGGGGCAGTAGTGATGGGCATGGGCATTGGCATCCAACACATATGGATCACCTTCTCAGCTGGAAGTTCAAAGTCTCCACTTTTTCTTATATATAAAAATGAGAACATACTATAAGATTGAGTTAGCATTTGACATATTTATTATTGTAGTTTATAAGGTCACTGACCACAAAGCACATGCAAAATCTAGACATGAAGATTCTTCCTGATTATGTCCACAGGGCTTATCTTGATAAATGTGTGTTGAATGAATGAGAGGGAGAGTGAATTGGAGGCTCTGACTTGATCCACACCAGGATCCATCAATATAAACATGATCATTTCCACATCATCTGCTGAGGTTATATGTAATGTGGACAAAGGAGAGTTTAGAAGATGGTGCTTGTGGCCAGCTCCACAGTTCTCCTCCGCCCAGCCTGGTCACAACCATGAAGCCAGGGCGGCACTCCACCTAGACCCTGGGCCTGGCCAGAGGGGGAGATGGGAGGGGACATAGCGGTAACAAGATTGTCCTTAAGTTGCTTACAGTCTAGTTGGACACAGAGAGACTAGTGGAGATTAGATCATTAAATGGGTTGCCCCCCAAGTGCTCTCCATATGTGTAGTGGATATGCACTACACATTATTATGACTTGGCTTTTTTGCTTTTCAGTCAAGGATATCTGGGTTATACTCCTAGCCCCACCTGAGGCACTGGGCAAATCACTTCTTATGGCCTTGGTGTCCTCATTTTTTTTTTTTAAGATTTTATTTTAAAGCAATCTCTATACCAAATGTGGGGTTCAAACTCAACCCCAGGATCAAGAGTCCCATGCCCTACAGACTGAGCCAGCCAGGCGCCCCTTCCCATGTCCTTATTATAGAATGGGAATACAGTCATCATGGTCCCTGCCTCCTAGGGCTGGGTACAGACTCAACGAGATGATGTGGGTCAAGCTCTCAGCACAGGGCGGGCACATCAAAGGCCCTCAGCTCCTGTAACCGTTCAACTCCAAGAGGGCAGGGATATAGCTGTCTCTATCACTGTGGAATCCCCAGTGTTCAGCCAACACTCAGAGGTATTTGTGAAATAACTGGAGACTAGTGGGCCTGTGCATCAGGATTCATGGACAGGGGAGGGCCATGTGGTAGGAAATGGGATGGGAAAGGGCTTTGTGTGATAAGCTGAGGAATTTATCCTGGGGGCAGGAGGAGCCCCTGGGGGTTCCTAAGGGCAGGAGCTGGGTGCTATCGTTTGTGGGACAGGCTGAGCTTAGGCTGACCTCATACTGGGTTCCTTTCCACTAACATGACCCCTATCTGCCCTGCATTAGGGAATTAACATCAGCTCTTAAACCTCCAGACTTGCCAGATAAGAGACCAACATTTGGACTCACTTGAAGTCACTAAAGATCCCCAGGGGACTGAAGTGGTTTGGCCCCTGGCACGCAGTGGACACTTATCCCATAGATACTTGGTTACATTGGCATTAGGACCTCTGAACTGTAAAAGTCCTCTCACTCTGGGTGTGTGCGAAATAAATACCTCTGGCTTAATTGTGTACATGGTGACTTCAGAGGCCTCAAAGGGCCTTCCTGGCAAATGACAGCTTCTACTTCTTCTTCTTCTTCTTTTTTTTAAACAGCTTCTACTTCTAATGCTTACTTTGTGCAAAACCACTACACATGCATAACGTCCCTGCTGTAGGATAGGTAGGTACTCTCCCCATTTTACAGCCTTCCCAGAGGCTCAAAGGGGTAACAGTACGGCAAGGGTAGAGTGCTGGTCAGTGGCAGGTCCAGGTCTCTCTGTCCTCAGACTCTATAACTCCAGATGTTGCTCTGAAGCCAGCTACATATGGCTTTTATCAGGCCTAGGGAAAGGGAGCTTTCTCTGAGCTACCAGGAGAGGATTCAAGACCCGTGCATCACAGAACAAGCTCCACCACAGCCCAGCTATGTGACTTGAGGATGCTCCCCAATCTTGATACCCTCACGAAGTGAGGTTGTTGTGGGGTTCTCTGCTTCGGCCTTAGCATCCGTTCTTTCAACTAATGGAGCAAGCCTCTACTATGTGCCAAGCACTGTTCCCATGAGTGAGGGAAAAGAAGAGGTACTTGCTCTTCTGGGGCTGACACAGACCTCATAAATAAATGAACAAATAATTTAATTTCAGAGTGATAAATTCCAGAAAGCAAATAAGGTGACATGGTGCAGCAAGGGGGAGGGCACTTCTTCAAGTGGGTGGCCAGGGAAGGCCTCTCCAAGGAGATGCCTTCACATTTGAGCACAAATATGAGTGACAAGTAGTTGACCACGTGATGACCTGGGGACAGAATGCTATTCCTAAAGACATGAAGAAGGACAACATAGTTTATTGAGATGAAGAATGGAAGTTTCTAGGTAGAAGTTGGCAAAGCCTTATGGGCTGTGTTAAGAACTAAGGAAGTGGTAGCTATTGCCAGTATAACTTTTTTTCCAATCATGACTTGGTGGCAAAAATGCCACCCCAAGGGCTGGAGACCAGACTCCATTCCCAGCTAATCATGATCCCCAATGCCCATCTCTCCAATGCCGTAAAGTCTCAGGGTTATTCAGGCACAAAGTGGCTGAGGCAGGTGAACTCTCTAACTGGACAGAGACCTTTTCCCCTCAAACTTGGCACTGTTGACTTTTACTGACATGGGGGACATGGGGGTAGGAGTTCCTGGACTCTGGAAAGCTGTGGAAACCTGACAGATCTGGAAAGGTGGTCCATACTGCAAAGATGAACTAGGTCTGGAAAGCTCACCCCAACCCCCTCCTCTTTCTGCAGAAATTCAAAGAGCTCAGGACAAGGTTTCCCTTCCTTCCCAAGGCCCTGGTTCTGAGGTAGGCCTCCAGCCTCCTACCTCCATCCCTGAGGGCCCTGGACTGGGATGTCGTTGGCACAAGGAAGGCAGAGGCACTGGTGTGGCAGTGGGGCAGGTTTCAGACATCCCCTGGTTCAAGTCCCAGCTCTGCTCCCATTGCCTTGTTAGTAAAATACAAGTAATAATACATCTTTCTTTGGGATGTTGGAGGCATCAGTGCAATAATGCATCTCAATGGCTTAGGCACATAGTACAGCTATAAACTATAGCCCTTATTATCGATAGACAAACTGAGGCATAGGAAACACAACCATAAAGTCTTGTGGCCTGCGTTCTGGTTACTTCAGGCAATTCCTTGCCCATCTCTGGCCCTTAGTTGTCCTACCCACACAATGAGGAGCTGGCCCCTCAAAACTAAATGCTCTGCCATATTTAATTTTTTTTAAGATTTTATTTATTTATGTATTCATAGAGACAGAGAGAGAGGCAGAGAAACAGGCAGAGGGAGAAGCAGGCTCCATGCAGAGCCCGACGTGGGACTCGATCCAGGGTCTCCAGGATCACGCCCTGGGCTGCAGGCGGCGCTAAACTGCTGTGCCACCGGGGCTGCCTTAATTTTTTTTTTTTTTTTTTTAAGATTTTATTTATTTGAGATTGTGGAGGGAAAGGAAGAGAGAGAAACAAATTCCACTGAGCAAGGAGCCGGATGCGGGACTCAATCACAGGACCCTGAGAATGTGACCTGAGCCAAAGGCAGACACTTAACCAACTGAGCCACCCAGGTGCCCCAAGGCTCTGCCATCTTCAGAGTGTTTCTGGTTTTAAATCCCAAGACAGGGCCAGCCACTCTTGCAATGATACTTTAACCCTGCCTGTCCCCACTCCTTGGCCCCGACCCAAAGAAAATGCCTGGATGAGACTCCAAAATGAACCAGCTGCCTCACTGCTGCCTTTTCACCTGTGAACACAATAGAGATAATTTCTTTCTGTCCCTGAGGCCTTTTCTCTGAAGCCCTTCTTCTGAGCATCACCTCATGAAATGCTCACAGTAACCCTAGGAAGTGGGTGTGGGTTCTGTTCCCTTTTTACCCATGATGAAATAGGCTAAGAGAGGGGGACAAACTTGCCCTAAGTCCCTCTGCTGAAAAACAATGGAGGAATTAGGAACTTGAATCCCAGTGTGTCTGACTTCAGACCATAGGAAAGAGGATCAGCAGCTAAAGCTTAGGCTGGAGGGGATGTCTGCCCTTCGTGCTCAGAGGCCCAAGGCTGCCAGAGCCACGGACAGCCCTGGGCAAAGGCAGGAGAAGCTGACACTTGGGCTGATGGCAGACTTTATTCAGACAGTAGAGACTCACTTGCCCCTTCTCAGGTCTTTGGAACTGGTATAGCCCTTACTCCTGAAGGACACCCGGACTAGCACCCAGAAAACCCTGGTTGGCAGGGAGGGGTCCAGAACAGGGGTAGTGGGCCTGAGATACCCCAACACCAGGCTGGATTACTGATTCTCGCTCACATCTGGTTCACTTTGGGTGGCTCCTGGCTCTCCTGGGAGCCCCACTGCACTGTCTGCTCCCTCCCAGGGGGTCCTCAAAGCCACTTGGCAGTGGTTATGGCAAATTATGACAAATGATGTCCAAGGGTCAGTGCTGAAAGAAAAGGAACAAAGGTAATGGTGAGAGTCCTTTGCCCCAGGGGAAGTGGGGGTGGTGGGGTGGGCAGTGGCTCAGGGCCTAGGCCAGGCCCCTGACATGCACGTGGGGGCATCTGTGATGCCCAGCTCCTCCCGGAGAGCTCTCAGGGGCTGCTCCCAGCGCCGCTCGTAGTACAGGTTGAGGACACATGGTGCTCTGTGCCCATTCTGAACTGCCCACGGGATCAGCTCTGAAATCAGCACTTGCAGGCTCCTGCAAGACAGCAGAGGATAAAGAAGATATAATCTTGCAATGGTCCCAGGGCCAGGCACGCTCTGCACCCAGAAACTGGTGTGCATTTTCCCAGTTAGTCCTCACTACCCTTAGAAAGGAGTTACTATCCCCATTAGCAGATGAGGAAACTGAAACTCAGGGAGGTAAAATTTTGTGCCCAGAGCCACACAGTTTGAATACGCTAAAGCCCAAATCGTAATCAAAGGCTACCTAACTCCAGAAACTAACACTGGGGTGCCACCCAACCCCCTCAATTCCATGGGGGAACTCCCAACACTGAGGCCTGCCCCAAGAGACCCTAGAGTCCTATGAAACACCCAGGCTTCATTCATTGCCCTGGGGACACTGCGCCGGGCCAGTTTCACCCTTCTGCTCCATTATTTCTACCCTGGCTTTCTGGAGAACCACTGGGGCTACTCAGGAAGGCTGCATGCTTGTCCCATTTCCTGGAGCCTGGCTCCTCTGAGCCTTCCCTCAACCCCTTGCCACTAGAGAACTTACTGGGCACTGAGCCGGACTGGTCCAAAGAGAGCACCCAGGATGCACATGGGCAGGTGGGTCTGGACAGCCTCAAACCATTTCACAGTGATCTCCCCTGGGGGGGCAAGAATAGGGTGGGAGGTGAGAAGGGCCCAGGAGAGCCATGGTGCTCCTGGCAGAGCAGAACAAAGCATCTGTGCCTCCTTGATCTCTATCAAGGTTAGCTGTGGCCAGTCCTGGCCCATGTGGGAATGTGAAGCACCTGGCTTGGGATGAAGGGGAGGGCATGAAAAAGAGCACAAGGAGGTAAGGGCTGGGAAGGAAGCTTGGGATCTGAATATAGAGGACTCCAAATTCGAGGCTATCAAGTCCAGGGCAGTTCCTGCAGGCCTCGGGAGTTGTGGCCGGTTTCAGAGCCCTGGTGTTTGGGTGCTGCTACATCAGTTTAGGAAGCACAGAGGTAGTGGGATGGAGAGGGGATGTGTGGCACAGATGCTACCAAGATGTTCAGAAAGCAGAAAATGAGGCACTGAGCTGCCCCCATCCCACCCAGCCCCACTCTCAAGGCAGCTGGGGCTAGCACTCACCGAGGAGGTTGGTGGGCATCCCCAGCAAGGTGTGGAGTATGTCGTGAACCTCCCGGTACCGCTGAATCACATATGCTAGCTCTTCGTCGTCCACGAATCGGGTGGGTGCTCGGGTATCTGGGGAGACCCTCTAACAACCATGAGCCTCCCCTAGATCTCTTCCCAACTGTTCCCAAGGCCAAACTGGCCAGCATCTCTTTGATTGTCAACCACTCCCACCAGACTCATACCCACCAAAAATCTCTGGGGACTGTTTCTGTCTACTCCTGCCCACAGGGAAGTCCTCAGGCAGGGAATACAGTGGCACTGACACCCCTATGGCCTACCCCAACTCACACACAGTGTCAAAGCCTGTTGGAATTTATGGCAAAGAAGCTCCTGTTGGTTGGGGGAAGTGACAATTGTTTAAGGGGTAAGAGTTTGGGAACCCTGGGTGGCGCAGCGGTTTAGAGCCTGCCTTTGGCCCAGGGCGCGATCCTGGAGACACAGGATCGAATCCCACGTCGGGCTCCCGGTGCATGGAGCCTGCTTCTCCCTCTGCCTATGTCTCTGCCTCTCTCTCTCTCTGTGTGACTATTAAATAAATAAAAATTTAAAAAAAGGGGGGGGGGTAAGAGTTTGTTTTACAAGGTGGAAAAGCTCTGGAGGTTGGTTTCACAACAGTGTGGATATATTTAACACCACTGAATTGTCCACTTAGAAATGGTTAAGATGAGGGACACCTGGGTGGCTCAGTGGTTGAGCGTCTGCCTTTGGCTCAGGGTGTGATCCTGGAGTCCCGGGATCAAGTCCCATATCGGGCTCCATGCATAGAGCCTGCTTCTCCCTCTGCCTGTGTCTTTAACTCTCTGTGTCTCTCATGAGTAAATCAATAAAATCTGAAAGAAGAAAAGAAAGAGAAAAGGAAAGGAAAGGAAAGGAAAGGAAAGGAAAGGAAAGGAAAGGAAAGGAAAGGAAAGGAAAGGAAAGGAAAGGAAAGGAAAGGAAAGGAAAGGAAAAGGAAGGAAGAAAGAAAGAAATGGTTAAGATGATTTTTTTTTTTAAAGTAAACTCTACCCCCAACAGAGGGCTAGAACTCACAACCCTGAGATTAAGAGTCACACACTTGGGATCCCTGGGTGGCGCAGCGGTTTGGCGCCTGCCTTTGGCCCAGGGCGCGATCCTGGAGACCCTGGATCGAATCCCACATCGGGCTTCCGGTGCATGGAGCCTGCTTCTCCCTCTGCCTGTGTCTCTGCCTCTCTCTCTCTCTCTCTGACTATCATAAATAAATAAAAATTTAAAAAAAAAAAAAAAGTTTAAAAAAAAAAAAAAGAGTCACACACTTTCAACTGGGCCACCCAGACACCCCCGAGAGGGCAATTCTTATCTTATTTTACTTTTTTTTTTTTTAAAGATTTTATTTATTTATTTATGATAGACACACACTGATCCTGGGACACTGGGATCATGCCCTGAGCCAAAGGCAGACTTTCAACCGCTGAGCCACCCAGGTGTCCCACCTTATGAAAAAGAAAAAAATGAAGCTTCCAAGGCCCAATACTTTCTTTTTTAAAGATTTAATTTGGCGGTGGGGGGTGTGCCTGGGTGGCTCAGTTGGTTAACTTCTGCTCAGGGCATGATGTCAGAGTTCTGGGATTGAGCCCTGTGTTGGGCTCCCTGCTCATGGGAAAACCTGCTTCTCCTTCTCCCTCTCCCCCTCCCACTGTGTGTTCTCTCTCTCTCTCTCTCTTGTGCACATGCAGGGGAGGGGCAGAGGGAGAGTCCCAAGCAGACTCTGCTGAGTGTGGAACCCAACTTGGGGCTCAATCTCATGACCCTGAGATCACGACCTGAGCCAAAAACAAGAGTTGGATGCTTAACTGACTGTGCCACCCAGGTGCCCCTAATTTTTTTGTTTTTTAAGTAATCTCGGGACGCCTGGGTGGTTCAGCGGTTGAGCGTCTGCCTTTGGATCAGGGCATGATCCCGGGGTTCAGGTATCAAGTCCTACATTGGGCTCTCTACATGGAGCCTGCTTCTCTCTGCCTATGTCTCTGCCTCTCTGTGTGTGTGACCCTCATGAATAAATAAATAAATAATCTTAAAAAAAAATAAGCAATCTCTATACCTAGCGTGGGGCTAGAACTCATAACCCCAAGATCAAGAGTCACGTGTTCCACTGACTGAGCCCACCAGGCACCCCAGCCCCCATCCTTCACATGAGCTGCTCTCTGCCTAGGGTGCTCTCCCCCACCAGCCACAGCTTCACATGCGCAATTTCTACCTGTCCTTTATGATTCACCTAAGTGTCCCCCCTGCAGGGAGGCTGTTGACTGATCAGGTCCACACTACAACCTCTTGTAGCATCCTATACCTTGTATTGTGATGTGTAGTACCATGTGCCTCTCTTCTAGACCTGAACTTTCCAGTATGGCAGCCATGCACTGCATGTGGCTACCAAGCCTTGAAATGTGACAGTTCCAACTTAGATGTATTATAGGTATAAAATACACACTTGGTTTCAAAGACTTGGTGAGAAGAAAACAATGTGAAATTTCAGTAATTTAGAAATACTACCTGTTGAAATGATAATATTTTGGGAACATTGGGTTAAATACAATATGCTATTAAAAATTCCACCTGTTTCTTTTTGCTTTTGCTGGAGTGGCTACCAGCAGATTGGAAGTCACCTGGCTTGTGTTCTCTTTCTGTGATTGGTGCTGTAGTGACCTCTCAGCTGCACATGGCTGCTGGCTGCTTTGCTCACTGTTGTATCTCCAGGGCCTGGATGAATTCACGTCTCATGAATATCTGACTAAAAGGCCAGCTCCTGGGGCTTTCCTGGCCCCAGGCAGAGGTGAGAACTGACTCCCTCTGATTCACCCTGCCTGAGTCCTCAGTAGTACTCATGCAGAATGGGAGCAGCCTAGTGTTCCTGTTCCCAGAGCAGGGGCTCAGCCTATCCAGAGGCCAAAGGATTTGATGTCTTCATTGCTTTGGGGCTGCTGGCTCAGTGCCTTAGTCTGTGTCTGGGATCTCACAGGGGCCCGGTTCCTAACTTCTTCCTAGGAGTTCTACATGCCGTATAAAGCAGAGGGTGATCACAGTGATAGCAATTATATTTATTCAGTATGTACTATGAGCCAGCACTGTATGAATTTCTTTATGTGTATCATCATAGTGCATCCTCATGACCATCTGGGGGTAGGTGCTCTATGAGCCTCAGGTAAAGGTAAGAAAAATGAGGTTCAGAGAAGTTATGTAACTTGCCCAATATCAGCTAATCAAGTAGCTGAATCAGGACTTGAAACAAAGTCTACTAGATTTCAAAGCCAGTAGCATTAACATCCATAAGCCATGTCAGTGCCCTGAAAGATAAACATTAGGTCCCCTTACCTCAGATAAGGAATATGAGGCTCAGAGAGGTCAAATGATTTGCCCAGGGCCATAAAGCTGGGAAGAGAGGTAGGATTCTAATTCAGGCTACTTTTTTTTTTTTTTAAGATTTTATTTATTTATTCATGAGAGACACAGAGAGAGAGGCAGAGACATAGGCAGAGGGAGAAGCAGGCTCCATGCAAGGAGCCCAATGTGGGACTCAATCCCAGGACTCCAGGATCACACCCTGGGCCAAAGGCAGGTGCTCAACTGCTGAGCCACCCAGGCATCCCTAGTACAGGCTACTCTTAACTCCAGAGCCCATGCCCATAATCTTGATGCCATGAGATGACCATGCCCCTTACCAACGACAGCCTCAGGGAGGGTAGCCTCACCTTGAACTTTGATCTAAATCTCTTCTGGAACAAAGGTGTTCCTTCACATTCTGTGGGTTGTTGGTTTCAGTGCTCTAAAGTGTCACAATCTCTAGGGCTATTATCACAACTAGGGCTGAGACTGGGCAGGGTGCCCAGGGAGGCCCTGGCAGTCCCATCCTCTCCACAGCAACAAGATGAAAGGCACTGGGGACTTTAAGGTGATCCCTCCCTGAGTGGCATTTGGGGAAGGCCACCCTGGTGGGTTTCCCACTGATGAAGTAAATTGCTTCCTGGTGAAATATGAGATGGTAGAAAATGGGGCAGGAACAAGTGTCAGGAGAGTATGTGGAGCAGATTATCATCTCAGGGACAATAACCTTCTAGAGCAGTAGTTTCTCAGCTGTCCACCACGGGATATTTGCAATATCTACAGAGATTTATGGCTGTCATAACTTAGTGGGGGTGCTAACTGGCATCTATGTATACAGGCCAAGGATCCTGCTAAACATCCTGGAAAGCACGGGGTAGCTCCTACAAAAAAGAGTGATCTGTTCCTGGGGCACTTGAATGGCTCAGTTGGTCAAGTATCTGCCTTCAGCTCAGGTCATAATCTCAGGGTACTGGGATCAATCCCCACGTTGAGCTCTCTGTTCAGCAGGGAGTCTGCTTCTCCCTCTCCCTTTCCCCTCAACTTGTGCTCTCTCAAATAAAAAGAAAAAAACATCATCTGGCCACAAAAGTCAATAGTGGTGAGGCTGAGAAGCCTACTTCTAGAGCAACCTGCTGGAGCACCACTTAACAGAGGTGCTTTGATGGGATGTGTATACACTAGGATGCAGTGGTTGGGACAAGAAAGGTGACCCAGATCCTAAGGTCTTTTTATTGATCAGGTCATGTTACTATCCTTTTTTTTTTTTTTAAGACTTTATTTATTTATTCAAGAGAGAGAGAGAGAGAGGGAGGCAGAGACACAGAGGGAGAAGCAGGCGTCATGCAGGGAGCCTGACACAGGACTCCACCTGGGTCTCCAGGATCACACCCTGGACTGAAGGCGGCGCTAAACCGCTGAGCCACCCGGGCTGCCCCTCATGTTACTATCCTACTTGAAACCCTTAATGTTTTCCTATTGCTCCTGTTGCAAAATGCAGACTTCTTCCTGTGGCTGGAAGGGTCTGGGCCAGTTCTCCTCCCACCTGCTGGCTGCCGCTCCTCTACTCAATTCCTAGATGGCCACTTCAGCAAATTTTCCTTTCCTTTTTTTATTTTAAAGATTTCATTCATTCATTCATTCATTCATTCATTCATTCATTCATTCATGAGAGACACCAGAGAAAGAGGCAGAGACACAAGCAGAAGGAGAAGCAGGCTCCCTGTGGGAAGCCCGATGTGGGACTTGATCCCAGGACCCCAGGATCACAACCTGAGCCAAAGGTAGGTGCTCAACACTGAGCTGCACAGATGCCCCAGTTTTCCTCTTCTTAAACACATAGGACCTTGCACTTGCCAGTGCCTCTGCTCCTCCTATCTTTCCTCAGGGCTGGCTCCTCCTCATCCAGGTCTCTTCAGAGGGCCTCCTGTGACCTCCCTGTCAGAAGTGGCCACCTCCAACCCTACCTCCTTGTCCTCTCTAATGATGTTGTTCTTACAGAACCGCCGGCTAGAATGGAAACTCCACAAAGGCAGGCTCTTTGCTGGTTTCATTCACTGTATCTCAATTACTGAGAACTGTTGTACTGTTGAACAGTGTTGTACAACACTGTTCTCAGTAATTGAGATACAGACCTGAATCTTTATCTCTGAATTGAGATACAGACCTGAATTTTTATATGAAATTTCTTCTTCTATTACTCATTTTCTTCCCCAAACCAGAATATTAGCACCACAAGAGCAGGACTTTGTACACTGTCTAGTTCACCATTATATCCCCAGCACCTGGGGTAATGGATGGCACACAGCAGATCTTGAACAAATGAATGAGTTCCGCAGCGGTTGGGACTCTCCCTACAAGGTCCTGTCCTCCCTGCATGGGGCAGAGAGTGCCACAACTTGTCATACTCTGGGGGAAGCCCTATCTCTAGAACAGGGGGACATGATACAACAGTTAAGAGCATGATCAAGGAGCACCTGGCTGGTTCAGTTGGTGGAGCATGCAACTTTTGATCTTGGGGTTGTGAGTTCAAGTCCCACATTGGGTATAGACAGACTTAATAATAAAATCTTAAAAAAAAAAAAAAGGCATGATCTGAATATGAATACTGCCTCCATTCATACTGGCTATATGAAATCATCAAGTTGCTTAAGTGCTCTGAGCCTTGATTTCTTCATCTATTAAAGAGGATAATAATAGGACCTACTTGACAGGATGGGTCAAGGATGAACTCTCCTATTGGGAGGGTTTGGCAAGATCAGGTATGAGCCTGGCATCTGACATCTAGTAAGTGACTTTTAAATACTGGCCAGTATTATCACTCAGAGTTCCTGGCCCATTTGCCCATCTCATAGAACACGACAAAGCCTTGGCATAGGAGACAAAAAGCACACCTGCCCACAGTGGCCACACAGGACTCCTCTTTCCTCAGGACGTCACTCCCATGCCCTTCTCTGCCTTTCCTAGTGATTGCCACGTGTGCAGAAGCTGGAAACTCACATTCACATCCAGGAAACGGAGATACTCTTGGCCAAGGGAGCCCTCAGGCAGACTACGGAGCTTGTCCAGGTCAAGGGTGGACAGTGAGATCCGGGGCCGCTTTCTGCGAGGCAGAAGGCAGGACTTAGGTACTGAGAGAGCAGAAGCAAAGACAGGTGAGAGGTCCAGCTAGGGCAAAGGTATGAGAGGTGAAGGGGCAGAGAATAGGGCCACAAATCCTACTTTAGCACCTGCTTCTGGCCAGGACGGTGGCAGGGACTGAGGAGCCTACCAATAGCTAAGGTCATGGTTCCTGCCTGCAGTGGCATAATCTAGGAAGCAAGCCTCAGGTGTGATCAGTATACTCAGAAAGAACATTGCAGGGGTGGGGGTTATAGCTAGCCTGTTACGGGAGCTTAGGGAAGGCAGAGGGCCCTGTGGCGGGAACTGGGCTGATGCCACCACATTGCACTACCTGCTGGTCATCATAATATGTATGTGAATGGCACCTATGGAGTTGGGCAGTGCCCAGCATGTGCAACCCTCCCTGGCCAGGGCATCAAGAAGAGTTCCCTAGAGGAACACAATGCAACTCCAGAGGGATCAGGATCCTCAGAGTGTCTCCAATTCCCTAGGCACAGTTGGGACCTACTGTAGGATCTCGGCACCCTCTGGATCCTTCCTCATCTGGTCCCTGAGGAACTTCAGGGCATAGTATCCTGTGGTCTCCCCTAGGACTGCGACCATGTCTGAAAGGAAAGAAATGGGGACAAATGAAGGATATGATCTCAGGTAGGTTACTGGACCTGTCTCCTACATGATAAGCTACAATACTATCTATCTCTTAGTTATGAGGATTCATGTTACACATTTAGCAAATCACCTGGAACACAGGAAGCATTCAATATATGTACCTATAGCATTATCATTGTTATCAATCTAATAGGCTGAGGTGGCTCTGATTAGCACAGTGCTCTAAAGAGTTTATAAATCACTTTTACACCCATTATTGCAACAGAATATCGTGCCTCTTGATTACAAGCTTTGGCATCAAAATGTTAGGTTTGGGTTCAGTTGCAATCACCATCTAAGTGAACTTGTAGAAATGCTTCACATTTCCAAGCCTCAGGGTCCTAATTTATGAAATGTGGAGAACACCATTCTTACAGGGTTAATGTGAAAAATCAAGAACACTACACATATAAAACATTTAGTGCAGTGAGGAACCAGCATTAAGTGCTCAGGGAGCAATCAGTATTAACATTTCTATTAGTAGGAGTAATAGTACTTTCCAGACTTAGAACCCTAAGATGTTCTAGTCATACATCCAGCCAACATTTATTGAGCATCTACTATGTGCCAGGCACATTGTAAAATACTGATGATATAGTAGAACAGGGCAGTCAGGGTGTCTGACCTCATAAGCTTTAATTTTTAGTGGGATGTTATAATTTGGTGTATATTATACCAAACTCTGCAAATCATCTATTTACTCCACAGGTTCTTTCTTTCTTTCTTTCTTTCTTTTCTTTCTTTCTTTTCTTTCTTTTCTTTCTTTCTTTCTTTTCTTTCTAGATTTGGTTTGAGGGCACCTGGGTGGCTCAGTGGTTGAGGGTCTGTCTGCCTTTGGCTCAAGTTGTGATCTTGGGATCCCGGGATCGAGTCCTGCATCGGGCTCCCCATCGGGAGCCTGCTCTTCTCTCTGCCTGTGTCTCTGCCTCTTATGAACAAGACAGAGGATGGGGGGGGGGAGGTGCAGAGGGAGAGAAACAAGCAGACTCCCAGCTGAGCAGGGACCCCCACGTGGGGCTGGATTCCAGGACCCTGGGATCAAGACCTAAGCCGAAGGCAGACGCTTAACGGACTGAGGCACCCAGGCGCCCCTAGGCCGCAGGTCCTCAAGGTGGCTGGATGACAGACTCTTCTGGTAGTTTATTTCCCTCCCCAAGCTCGGGCTGATTTGGCTGGAGCTCAGGGTGGGACCCAAGCAGCTGCATTGTTGTGAACCTTGCGCGTGATGATGGGATGCAGCCAGGTTTGGGAACCCGGACCCAGTTTCCTCTCCGGTTACCACCAGGGGACGGGCAGAGAGAGGTCAGCACCCGCCAGGCTCCCCCGGCAAGGGTGCGTGCCGACCTCCCGCTGTCCTGCAGGAGCGCCGGCGCGGGCGGCCTTACCGTGCCGGTACGGGTTAGAGAGAGCCATTCCGGCCGAGCCGGCGGCCAGCAGCGCCTTCTGCAGCGGGGAGGTGGGGATGTGGCCCGGGTAGAGCAGGCCGGCGCCATGGCGCGCGCCTCGGAGCCACACATCTGCGGGGAAAGACGAAGGCGGTGGTCAGAGGAGCCTGGCTCGCCAGGCTTCCCTCCCGCCTCCTCACTTGCCTGCAGCTGGCCCTCGGCGGCCGCCGAGCGCGCGGAGAGGGCGTAGGGCCGAGCGCAGCAGCGTCGCCATTGGCAGCAGGCCCCCGCCGGCCGCGGGAGAGTGAGCGCGGGGGGCGGACGCCGCGAACCTCTCTGGCCGCGGAGCTCCAGGAACGGCCTTTGAAGGAGAAAAATCGTAGCACGGGCCTAATCGCTAGGTATGAGAAGGAAACCCAGGCGACCTGTCTATCACCTGCTTCCACCGAAGCAAAACTCTCCCCATTTCCCTTCACTTCCGGCAAGGGTCCCCAGGTGAGCCCCGCTAGCTTGGGGTTCAGCGCCGGGCCCCAATTCTCTCTCCCCTGCGCGTTTTCCCGGAGGCCAATAAGACGGGAACCTCTTCCGGCTGCGAAACATGGCGGCACTCATGGTCCGGACCTCATTTAGGGTGGGACCGTACGGCACTTCCGCTCAAGAGCAGCTGTTCCGCCAGCCAGCGCCGCGGACTTTGAGCATGGGGTCCTGCGGCCTGGCGCGGCTGCAGGGGCTCTTCGCTGTCTACAAACCCCCGGGGCTAAAGTGGAAGCACCTGCGGGACACCGTGGAGCTGCAGCTTCTGAAGGGTGAGTGCCTGGAACCAGACCCACGATCCCGCTCCGCCGCTTCTCCCGGGAGTCCACCTCCGCCTCTCATCCTTCCGGCAAAATGAAGTCATGTGACCCAGGCTCCTGGGCAGAGCTTATTCTGTACACCGTTACTCCTCACGTTCCCCTGCGTTCAGATGGCCAAATAGTGTCCATTATCCTAAATCGTAGAGTCGGAATTTGAACCCAGGCCTGTCTCTGAACTGCTATCCTATACGTCGTGGGTTTTGTCTTCTACGTCTGCACACCTCCGCGCCCCACCCCCACCCCCCAGGTGTTTGGACAGAATTGACTTCATGCCCTTTACCTTTGTGTACTCAGGTGTCAATGCTGGGAAGCCTCCTGCCCCTGAACAGCGTGTTCGTTTCCTGCTAGGACCCGAAGGAAGCGATGAAGAGAAGGAGCTTACCCTCACAGCCACCAGTGTGCCCACCCTCACCAACCATCCCCTGGGTAAGGGGGCCTGGGTGTCACTTCCCAGGCAGTCTCTGCGCAGAGTCCGTGTCCCAGTCGGTACTCGGACTCCTGTCCCAGATCCCTTGATGGGCCGCAGTGGGGATGAAGTATTTGACCAGGAGTTGCCAAATTTTTCTGGAAAGGTCCAGATAGCAAATGCTTTAGGTTTTGCAGGCCCAGTTCTGCCATTGCAGTGCAGAGAACCTGTAGGTAGTATAGAATGCAATGAACCTGACTGTGTTCCAGTAAAGCTTTAGTTATGGAAAGTGACATTTGAGTTTCATATACTTTTCCTATGTCACAAAATATTATTCTCTTGATTCTTTTGGAACCACTGAAATATGAAAAAAATAATTAACTCATGGCCTTAAAAAAACAGGCTTGAGGATTTGGCCTGTGGACTGTAGTTTGCTGACACCTCTTAACTATTCTGGGACTCCAGTTGGGAAATGAGACCTTCAGGTAGAAGTCCTAAGGCAGATGTTTTGGGTTCTTGGGAAAGAGTGATTTGTTTTTTCATTAAATATTTAATTTATTTGTTCACAAGAGACACACACACAGAGGCAGAGACATAGGCAGAGGGAGAGGCACGCTCCCTGCGGGGAACAGGATGTCTGACTCTATCTGAGGACCCCCAGGATCATGACCTAAGCCAAAGGCAGACAGCCATTGAGCCACCCAGGTGCCCCGAAAGAGTGATTTTTTTTTTTTAGTCAACAAAGCTACCCAAGAATGGAACTAGTGATAATGAGTTCTTTGTCACCAGACAGTGTTAGGAAGACTGATAGACTTGATCAGAAACCACTAAAACCCCTTTGGCAGTGATATTTAGTGACTCTACAGTGTAGCAATAACAAGTATGTACTGAGGATCTCTTCTATACTAGATACTGTGTTAAGCTCTCGCCAAGTACCATTTCGTTAAATCTTCACCACAACCCTGTGAAGTGTGTCCTGTTCTCATTTCACAAATGCTCAATGTTGACATTAAGTAACATAGCCTATATTCAGTAGGCTCTTAACCATCCTGTATCCTTCCCCTAAGTACCTCTTGTTCTGTAGAAGTGTATATGCTTCAGGCTCATTCCTTCATGCAGTCTTTTTTTTTTTTTAACAGCATTATTGAGATATACACAAAAACCCACATTTTTATTTTTTTATTTTTAAAACCCACATTTTTTAAAAAAGATTTTATTCATTTATTTGAGAGAGAGCACATGTGCATGTGTGGAGCCCAAAGCAGGGCTCAATCCCAGGACCTTGAGATCATGACTCCAGGTGAAACTAAGAGTCAGGTGCTCAACTAAGCCCCCCAGCCCGCCTCCCACATGTTTTACTGTATATATTTTTAATGAGTTATTCATTCGTTCAGTAGTTACTTTCTGAGCACCTAGTGAATTCTGGGCTCTGGGGGTAGAACTAGGGACCCAGGCCCCACCTTCAGGAACTTACCACCTCCATTTTCTTACCGGGATGGCAGACTCTTCTGCCACAGCTGAGTAGGAAAGTTGAGTCCCAGTGTTATGTCCAGTCCAGTCAAAACCTCTCACAGGGGGAATGATGATAGGGAGATTAACAAGCCCTTTTTCTGGGCCCAGGGAGCTGAGGAAATGGTTCTGGGCCCCAGATTCCATGGTAGGAAGCAAGAGTCCAACCTGATCCTGGTTTGGGGTCCATGAGGCTACGTCCTAGGAATGAAGCAATTGTGCAGGCTGAAATCATCCTGGAGGCTGGATTCATTGAGGAAAGGGACCTTGTTTGTTTCTTTCTAGTCTGCGGACCAGCATTCACCAGCCTGAAGGTTGGTGTGGGACACCGTCTGGATGCCCAGGCGTCTGGGGTGCTTGGTAAGTGATGTAGTGAGCCTAGGGTGCAGTGATACAGGCTTGGGGGAAGACTGGGGAGCAACGATGAACCCAGGCCACTTCCAGCCTGACAGCCATTTCCCACCACTGTCCTCCTTCCCTGATTCCTGCCCCAAGTCTGATCAGCTGGTGTAATGAGGGGAATGTCCTAATTGCCCACTTTGTGCATATGTTTTCATTAGATAGATAGTTTATGATTTTATGAAGAAAAGAAGGCTCCAGGAGCTTAGGTGACTTGTTCTGTGTTATGTGGCTGGTGAATGACCCTGGTCCAGGGAGCAAAAACTTTTACTTGTGTGGGGTAGCCAAGAGCATGACTCTGGCCCCACCGGCCAGGATCTGAATGTCTTTGGAGCTGGACACACAAAGCCCTGAGTCATGAACCATCTGTGTCCCCAGGGCAGGCGGTGGCCACATCCTCCATGCGCGGTAGTCACAATCCCCTTGTCTCATTTCCTGGGCACAGGCAGGCAGACATGATCTCATGCTCCCTCTCCCTGTCCTCCCTCTCCAGGAGTGAATGGAGGGTCATTCTCTGCTTTATCCAGAGGGAGAAACAGGCAGGGAATGGCCACAGTGCCCCTTTATCGCGCCCTTCCTTTGTTCTGACTTCTTTCTGTGCATTGCCTCAATCTTCACAACAGCCACAGGGATCAGAAGTATTTTGTATCCCCATTTTACTGATGGGGGAGCTTGAGGCCCAAGGAGGCTAATGGACAAGCTTAGAGCCACCCCAGATTTGAGTGTAGGTCTATGTGACTGGGCCAGTGGTCTCTTTCTTTTGAGTGCATCAGAACCCCCTAGGGCCCTCCCCTCCATGAGTCAGAGTCAGTATAAATGGGTGGGCCCAGAAACCTGCATTTTTAGTAACATCAGAGGTGGAAGTATTCTGGTGGTGGTTGTAGGACTTGGAGATCCCAGGGAAATGGGGAGGGGGAACTAGGTGTGAGATCAGCCTGGGTGTCTTCCAGTACTCGGCGTGGGACATGGATGCAGGCTCCTCACCAGCATGTACAATGCTCACCTCACCAAGGTATGGGGACGCTGGGGACAGCTCATTTAGCCCTTGGTCCTTTCCCTGGGGGTCACTGGTGAGAGTCCAGCTGAGAGGACTCCGTGGGGGAACACCTAGGCCATTAGCCAGTGTTGTTTCATGGCCATGTGCTGGGGGAGACTGTGTGAATAGCATGGTAATAACTTCCAGCTTTCTTTACTGAGTACCAGCCACTGTGCACTGAGCATTGCACGTGGACTCCTTGTGGATGCCTCACAACCCACCTTCCAGATGAGACCACTGAGGCACAGAGAAGGGATATCATTTGCCCAGAGTTGTGCAGCCTGTAAGGAATGGAGCTGTGATTTGAACCTGGATCTGACACCAGAGCCTGATCATGATGCCACTCCTCTCTCCCCCCAAGACTGAGAAGTGGCTGTCACCATCCACGCATTAGGGAGCTTGCATCTGGGCTGGGGCCATAGGGTCTGGTACCATGAGTGGGGACAGAGGTGCTGCATTAGAGAGCCTCCATTTTTAGTGGTTAAGAGCACAGATTCTGGAGCAAGTTGGCTTTATTTATTTATTTTTAATTGTTTTTCTTTTTTTAAAGATTTTATTTATTTATTCATGAGAGATACAGAGAGAGAGAGAGGCAGAGGGAGAAGCGGGCTCCAAGCAGGGAGCGCGACATGGGACTCGATCCCAGGTCTCCAGGATCAGGCCCTGGACTGAAGGCGGCACTAAACCGCTGAGCCACCTGGGCTGCCCGCCAGTTGGCTTTAGTTTGAAACAATTCCCTGTCCTGCCAGCTGTAGGTCCCTGTGTGGATTACTTAGCATCTGGGTTCCTCCATTTCCTCATCTGTAAAATGGGAGAGATGATAGTACCTCCTGTATAGGGTTACTCTGAAGATTGTTAGCTAACTCCATGCAACATACTTAGCACAGTCACTGGCACATGGTAAATGCTCAATAAATTACTGCTGTTGCCATCATCTCTTCCTTGTGGCAGAGGCCATTAGCTGCACAGATCATATCTGGAGGCTGGAGAAAAGTCAACAGGGTGCACTGGGAGGAGTTGTCAGGCTAGAGAGGAGATCAGAGGCATGGGGCGGTTGTGGTAGGGCTGTCACTGCCCTTTGTGGGCAAGTGCCTGCTGTCATAGGGAAGTCTGGTGCCCTTCCCTGGGAGCGCAGTAGGGTGGCTGGGTGGGGGCTGAGTGCCTGGTTCCCTAACGGGAGACCTGAGGACCCTGCCCCACCTGCAGACTGTCTAGCAGGTTATGGGGGAGGGGGTGTAAGGTGACACAACTCTCTTCTCAGTGCTGAGGGAGAGCAGTGACACTAACCACATCTTCCCTTTCCTATCCCCATAGGATTACACAATACGTGGCCTCCTGGGCAAAGCCACAGATGACTTCTGTGAGGATGGGCAGCTGGTGGAGAAGTCAACATATGGTGAGAGCCCACAGGAGCCTAGGACAATGGGAGTAGCTATGATTGCCTTTGCATTTGCTCTTCCTTGATTCCTTACCCCTACACAGGCCACACAGCCCTCAGTGACTTTAACACACTAAGTTTGAGCTGGCTACTGGAGGGCTTTGGGCATGTCACTCTGTCTTCCATGTACAAATGCCCTGTGCTTCCCCTGTGCCTCCCCACCTAGCATAAATGTCACCTCAGGGAAGCTCCTCTCACCCACAGATGAATTACATGGACTCTCAGAACAGTAATCAACTAATGCTTAGTGATTTTTTTTTTTTAATTTACTTGTTTGAGAGAGAGAGAGAGAGCGAGCAAGCCACGCTGCATGGGGAGGGGCAGAGGCAGAGGGGGAGAATTTCAAGCCGACTCTTGGTTGAGCGTGGAGCCTGATTCAGGGCTCAATCCCACAACTCCAAGATTGTGACCTGAACCAAAATCAACAGTCCAATGCTCAACCAACTGAGCCACCTAGGCACCCCATGATTAGTGATTATTTAATATCTGTCTTCCCACCACACTGTCATGAGATCAAGGACCATGTCATTCCACTCCTGTAGTTCCATGTAGTACAGAGCCTGGGACATGGAAGTGCTTGTTGGTTGGGTAGAAAGATGGAAAGGTGGATGGGTGGGTGGGTAAGTGGGTGGATGTATAGTTGGATGGCTTATTCTTCACTTCTTACTCTATGTTCTAACACTTTCTATAAGATCTATTACATTTTCTTATTTGACTGATGTTTTGGGGCACTGACCATGTTCCAGGCTCTTGGAGGGGGGAGATACGATGAATCGGATGGGGTCCCTAATTTCAGTGAACTCAATCTAGCAGGGAGAGCAAACACACACCTCTGCATCTTCTGGAGAGGATTGTAAATGTGGCAGAGTAACACTATATATCTGTACATGTGGGTGTGTCGGCATACAAAACATGTCTAAAGACAGTTACCAAGTTGACACTTCTGGTAGGGAGGAAGCCAGAATTTGGAGGAGGGGTGATGCTTGTTAATGCTGATTTAAATTTCCTTCTTTCTTCCTTTTTTTTTTTTAAGATTTATTTATTTGTTTGTTTGTTTATTTTTATTTCAACAAGAGTGCATGCACATGTGTGTAGGGAGAAGGGGCAGAGGGAGAAGATATTAAGTAGGCTCCGTGCTGAGTGCAGAGCCCAATGGAGGGCTGGGTCCCATGACCCTGAGGTCATGACCTGAGCTGAAATCAAGAGTCAGATGCTGTGGTACCTGTGTGGCTCAGTGGTTGAGCATCTACCTTTGACTCAAGTCATGATCCTGGGGTCCTGGGATCAAGTCCCGCATCGGGCTTCCCACAGGGAACCTGCTTCTCCCTCTGCCTATGTCTCTACCTCTGTGTCTCATAAATAATAAAACCTTAAAAAAAAAAAAAAGATGCTTCACGTACTGAGCTACCCAGGTGCCCCCTAATCTAAATTTCTTAAAGAAGAGGAGTACTTACATAGATCCTCTTCCTCTGCCGCTTCTCCCTGTGTGTGTGTGTATACGTGCTCTCTCTCTCTCTCAAATAAATATAATAAATCTTTAAAAAATAAATTTCTAGGGCAGCCCTGGTGGCGCAGTGGTTTAGCACCGCCTGTAGCCCAGGGTGTGGTCCTGGGGAGTCTGGATCGAGTCCCACGTTGGGCTCCCTGCATGGAGCCTGCTTCTCCCTCTGCCTGTGTCTCTGTCTCTCTCTCTCTCTGTGTCTCTATGAATAAATAAATAAAATCTTTTTAAAAAAAAAATTTCTTGGGGATCCCTGGGTGGCTCCCTTAGTGCCTGCCTTTGGCCCCGGGTGTGATCCTGGAGTCCCAGGATCAAGTTCCACATCAGGCTGTCTGCATGGAGCCTGCTTCTCTCTCTGCCTGTGTCTCTGCCTCTCTCTCTGAATAAATAAATAAATCTTTAAAAAAAAAAAGTTTCTTAAAGAAGATTCATATGTCAATTGTGTAACTAAAAGATACTGTTAAAACCGAAGCAAATTAAATGCTAGGGAAGAGACCCAGGTGCAGATCGGCAGGAGCCAGTAGAAAGAAGTGATGTGCTCTAGGAGGGCTTCTTGGAGGAGGCTACATTTGAACTGGGCTGTAAATGAGGTGGGGGGAGGAAGTGGTGGGTACGTTTCAGGTAAGACAACAGCATGAATAAAGCCAGACAGAAGGGATAAGAGGCCTAGGCCCTCCCAAGCTGGCAGCCCTTTGGTCATCACACCTGAGCCCAGAACTCTGGCCTTTAGAGCCAGAAGCTGGCACCTGCCCAGATGGGCCACAGGATCAGCCTCCAGGCAGTTTGTATGCATCCCCAGGCTTAGCAGCTGCCTGCCCTAGCCACTCAGTGGGACCAGCAGGCAGAGCCACTCCCTATTCTTGCCATCTGTTTCTACATTCAGATAGATGGCACTCTCCCTCCTAGGGTCTCTGACATAAACAAACAAACAAACAAACAAATTGGGGCTCAAGGGACTTGGCTTAGAATATTGGAGAAGTCAGGGCACCTGGGTGGCTTAGTGGCTGAGCATCTGCCTTCAGCTCAGGGCGTGATCCTGGGCTCAGGGATCAAGTCCCACTTTGGGTTCCCTGAAGGGAGCCTGCTTCTTTCTCTGCCTATGTCTCTGCCTCTCTCTCTCTGTCTCTCATGAATAAATAAATAAAATAAAATCTTTTTAAAGTATATATATTGGATAAGTCTTATGATGGCTTTGAGTTTCCAAAAGAAACTTGTTGGGCAGCCCGGGTGGTTCAGCAGTTTAGTGCCGCCTTTGGCCCAGGGCGTGATCCTGTAGACCCGAGATCGAGTCCCACGTCAGGCTCCCTGCATGGAGCCTGCTTCTCCCTCTGCCTGTGTCTCTGCCTCCCTCTGTCTGTCTGTCTCTCTCTCTGTCTCTCATGGATAAATAAATAATCTTAAAAAAGAAAAAGAAACTTGTTAACTTGGAGTCTGTGAGCCCCTTAATAATGTCCTCACAAAGTTAAGTTCAGGCATAACTTTCTGAGAAGAGGTCCTGGCTTTTGTAAGATTCTCAAAGGACTCTCAGCCCCCTAAATGGGAACTCTGGGACTCCTCTGACTTCCAAGGATAGAGCTGGGTTGAAGGAAGGGAATTTGCCAGTTTGTTGCGGCCCTTCCTCAGCAGGTGCTTGTGTGCTGACTGTCCCCTGGCTTTTCCAGACCATGTGACTAGAGAGAAGCTGGACCGAATCCTGGCCCTGATCCAGGGCTCCCATCAGAAGGCCCTGGTGATGTAAGTGGGGCCCAATCCACACTTTCCTGAAAGGGGCCCTTGAGGAGGTGCTGCAAGAGTAAGAAGTGCCTGCTGGGCTCCATGTAGGCTCTGCCCACCCTGGGGCAGATTCCATGGATCTTTTTAGAGCCTAAAAGCAGACGTGAACCACTTCTACCTTTCACAGCCTGCAGAAGTGTTTCTTTGTGCCAGACTAGCCCCTGGGGAGACCAGGGGGGAGCAAGAAGCCCCCGCTAGCGTCAGTGGGAGCATATGATTTGGTGGAGAGGAAAGCCAGGAACCCACATCCCAGGACATAGAGGCAGGGTGTAGCAGCAGGCAGTATGTGCGTGGAAGCTGGGGGAACTACGCAGAGGAGGGCAGAGCCTGCTTTGAGGGATTGGAGGGGACAGAGAAGAAGGGGGCTGTAGGAACAGGAAAGATGGAAGGCTCTTTATGAGTGGGTCAGGGCCAGGGGTAAACAGTAGGCCAGCTCCCCATCCCACGCCAACCCCCTTCTGATCCCCAGGTACTCCAACCTGGACTTGCAGACCCAGGAGGCCTATGATATGGCTGTGAGAGGCTTAATCCGGCCCATGGATAAGTCCCCGATGCTGGTAACGGGCATCCGATGCCTCTACTTTGCACCTCCGGAATTCCTCATGGGTAAGTTGCCCCAGGAAGTTGGAGCAGTGCGGGGCTCCTGGGTTTGGGGAGTCACTGTGGAATGCCCTTGCAGAGGCCAGCACGTGCTAGCCCTGACCTCTGCTGGGTAATGCACCAGGGGCCAGCTTCCTTCTCAGCCCTGGACTGGACTTGGCCCATCACATGGCACCCAGATCAAATGCTGTCCTGTTTGCTGCCAAGTCACCCTTTGAAGCTAGACCTCAGTAAGCAAGTTATACTTAACTGTTCATTTCCAGAGCCTCCAAGTATTTCAAGTTGCAGTGGGCTGCAGTGGGCATCCTCACCCCCCCAGTCCCACCCAGCTCAGCCCCTCCCTCGTTTCTTCTCTCTTTGTCTTAGTTACTTGAGTATCGACCAGGACTCTCCCAATAATAAGCACCTTATGTACCTTGTATCTTAAATTCCTCACAACCTCCCATTTTACAGCTGAGCATAGCAGGTCTTAGACCCGGGCAACCTTCTGGGAGTTAACCTGCCCAGAAAGCAAACTCTGATTCTGCAGTTCTGGGTGGGGCCCAAAATTCTGCACGTATGATAAACTTTCAGGGTTGGCCCTTGGGCTACACTTTGAATAGCAAAGCCTAGGGTTATCACACAGCCAAGAGGTATCATGGGTGTGGATTTGGATCAGAAGATACCAGAGGTTGTGCTCCCAACCTTCAGATCTCTTGTTGTGTGTCCCTGGCAGAGGTGCAGTGCATGCATGAGACACAGAAGCAGCTGAGAAGGCTGGTGCATGAGATCGGCCTGGAGCTGAAGACCACTGCTGTCTGCTCCCAAGTACGGCGTACACGTGATGGCTTTTTCACTCTGGACGATGCCCTCCTGAGGACCCAGTGGGACTTACACAGCATCCAGGATGCCATCCAGGCTGCTGCTCCCCGGGTGGCAGCGCAGCTGGAGAAGAGCTTGAGGCCAGGGCATCCAGCAGCTTCCATGTCCAGGCCGGCTCTGGGACTCCAGAGGGCCTAGCTCTGGCTCAGGGCTAGAGAGAGCTGTTCACGGCATTGAAAGGCCAGGTGGCTGGCGGGGCAGTGAATGGATAAGAATTGTTGGCAAGTTGGAATTGATAACTGTGCAGAAAGCAAGAGTAGGGGAAACTTTTCTACATGTGACATAAAACTCTGAAGCTGTAAGAAAAAAGATCCAACAGATTTGACCCAATTGGGATCAAAGGAAAAATTTCTTTATGGAGGAAAAGATGATAAACAAATGATAAGACAGGTAAAAATATGTATGATATGTTTAAGAATGACTATCCAAGGGCACCTGCGTGGCTCAGTCAGTTAAGTGTTTGCCTTTGGCTCAGGTCATGATCTCAGGGTTCTGAGATTGAGTCTGCATGGGGCTTCCTGCTCAGCGGGGAGATTGCTTCTTCCTCTTCTCCTCCCCCCCCCCACCCCCCCGCTCATGTGTGCGCTCACTCTCAAATAAATAAATAAAATCTTTCTTAAAAAATGAATGAGAATCTTGGAATGCCTGGGTGGCACAGCGGTTTGGCGCCTGCCTTTGGCCCAGGGCGCGATCCTGGAGACCCGGGATCGAATCCCACATCGGGCTCCCGGTGCATGGAGCCTGCTTCTCCCTCTGCCTGTGTCTCTGCCTCTCTCTCTCTCTCTCTCTCTCTGTGACTATCATAAATAAATAAAAAAAATAAAAAAAAATATTAAAAAAAATGAATGAGAATCTGTAATATATAAAGAGCTCTTATAAAACAGTAAGTAAATTGGGCAAATGACATGAATTTGTGTGTGTGTGTGTGTAAATTCAAATGGCCAATAAACCAGAAATGATGCTCACCCTCTCTAATAATAAAAAACATACAGTAGAAAATCATATGATTTTTCTTGCCTTTCTAAACAATTAATAAAATATCCAGTATCGGTGATGATATGAGAAAATGGGCAATCTGTGCTATGGGTAGGAAGGTGTACAACTTTGTAACCTTTCAGGAATAACTTGGTAGTATGTGTCAAAATTAAAAATACTCTGACTCGGGATCCCTGGGTGGCGCAGTGGTTTGGCGCCTGCCTTTGGCCCAGGGCGCGATCCTGGAGACCCGGGATCGAATCCCATGTCGGGCTCCCGGTGCATGGAGCCTGCTTCTCCCTCTGCCTGTGTCTCTGCCTCTCTCTCTCTCACTGTGTGCCTATCATAAATAAATAAAAAATTAAAAAAAATTAAAAAAAAATACTCTGACTCAGTAGTTACAGTTTCAGGAATCTCTTCTGGCATAAGTTGCAGACAGTTACAGGTACTTAGATTATCATAGCTGCAATGTAATAGTAACAAATAGGAAACGTCATTACCATCCATCAGTAAAGGACTGGTTAAATAAACAGGGCATACAGAGTCAAAGACTCTATCCTAGGGGAGCCTGGCTGGCTCAGTCTGTAGAGCATACAACTCTTGATCTTGGGGTTGTAAATTGGGTGTAGGAATTACTTAAATAAAAACGTTCTTTTCCGGCAGCCCTGGTGGCTCAGCGATTTAGCGCCACTTTGAGCCCAGGGCATGATCCTGGAGACCCGGGATGGAGTCCCACGTCGGGCTCCCGGTGCATGGAGCCTGCTTCTCCCTCTGCCTGTGTCTCTGCCTCTCCCTCTCTCCTTGTGTCTCTCATGAATGAATAAAATCTATAAAAAGAAAAAAAAAGACAAACAAAAAAGGAAAGTTCTTTTCCAATACTCAGGAAACTTATCAAAAACCAATTATTTTTTCTGCCAATTTGATTTTCCTAGGCTTTGGACACCTTGATCCCATGTGGATGGTTTTGTTTGTTTGGGCCTGACTCTATCCACGTGGATCTCTTCCCTCTCAATATTATTCCCCTAATAATATTTTTTAGTCTCTATCCACTAAGTGGATGTATTCCCACTTAGAACATTTGGGCTAGAAGGGGCAACTTAGCATCTGGCTAAGGTTCCAGTTTCGGGGGGATGCCTGGTGGCTTAGTGGTTGAGCATCTGCCTGTGGCTCAGGTCGTGATCCTGGGGTCCTAGTCCCACATTAGGGCTCTGCCTCTCCCTCTGTGTCTCTCATGAATAAATAAAATATTTTTTAAAAAACTGTTCAAAGGTTCAAATCTGGGCCCCAAGGGGAGGCAGTGCATATTTCTCACACCTGCTGTCACCCTGGGAGAGGAGGCCCCAGCCACTGCAGCTCCCTCACCCTCACAAGGGGGCATTGCACAGTTCAGAGCAGTGCTGAGCAGGTGTGGCCTACCTGGTGGGCTTGTAACAAATGAAGTCATGGTGAGGTTCTTGCCCTGGTGCCTGGCATGTAAGACTTGCTCTGTGAGTGAGCCGCCTGCTCGCTGTGGCTACTTTCTTCGGAACAGTGACCTAAAAGAATTGTCACAGAGTCAGAGGCCTTCTCTCCATCCCTCCTATTTATCTGGCATAAAAATCAGCTAGGAATTTGACAAACACACCTCAGCCAGATGATCAAGGTCAACAGCAACAGTGATAAGTTGTGTTGCTGGTAATGTCCTCTTGATAAGATGTAATGAAAATGACCCTTTACCTCTGTGGTCTTCTTCCTAGTAACCCATAGCCGCAGTCTTATGAGAAAGACATGGGTCAGGTTTGGGTAATGAGGCATCCTACAAAATACCTGACCAGTACTTCTCAAAACTATCAAGGTCGTTAAAAGCAGTGAAGTCTGAGAAACCACTACAGCCAAGAAGAACCTACATGATGAGTAGATATACTGTGGGATCCTGGAACAGAAAAAGAGGACTTTAGGTAAAAACAAAAGAAATCTAAATAATTTCTGGGCATTAGTAAATAGTAATGTATCAATATTGGATTGTTAATTTTTTTAGTTTATTTATTTATTCGAGAAAGAGAATGAGCACAACTGGAGGGGAGGGGCAGAGGCAGAGGAAGAAGCAGACTCCCCACTGAGCAGGGAGCCCAACATAGAATTTGATCCCAGGACCCCAGGATCATGACCCGAACTGAAGGCAGATGCTCAACTGACTGAGCTACCCAGGCACCCTTTTGTTTTGTAACAGATACATTACTGTAAAATGTTAATAGTACAATAGTGTGGCAAACTAGTGCTGAGTGTATGGGAATTCTCTGTACTATCATCTTGATTGCAAACAACTGTTGTAAAAAAAAAAGTCTACAAAAGAAAGAAAGAAAGAAAGAGATTGGGGTGCCTGGGTGGCTCAGTTAAGCATCCAACCCTTAATTTCAGCTCAGGTAACAGTCACAAGGGTCATGAGAGTGAGCCCTGTGTCAGGCTCTGCACTGAATGGGGAGTCAGTTTGAGGATTCTCTCTCTCTCCCTCTTCCTCTGCCCCTCCTTAACTCCCCTCAGTTGTGCACTTTCTTTCTCTGGTGTCAAATAAACAAATCTTAAAAAAAAAAAAAAAAAAAAAAGCTGGAGAGACTTTTGAGAATCCAGATTTTTTTTTGTTTGTTTTTTTTTGTTAGTTGAGAATCCAGATTCTAACCCCAAACTTTGGATTCTGACTCAGTGGATCTGGAGTGAGGCCTGGAAATCTGCATTTTAGCAAGTCCCTAAGAATTCTGATACCAGAACTGTAAAAAAACAGGGGCCCCCAGGAGCCAGCTAGGCATTGTCATTTCCCTCTGGTCTTCAGGAACCACATTAATGGCTACTTGAGGCCCATTTGAGAAGAGAGTAGCCAACAGCCATGAATGACAGGGCATGGTGTGCTAGTTAGTAAGGTTACTCTATCAGAGTATCACAAACCAAGTGGCTTCAACAGTGAAAACCTATTGTTGGGATGCTTGGGTAGCTCAGCAGTTGAGCTTCTGCCTTCAGTTGATTTTATTGTGGCCTGATCTCCGGATCCTGAATTGAGTCCCACATCGAGTTCCTTGCAGGGAGTCTGCTTTTCCCTCTGCCTCTCTCTGTGTGTGTCTCTCAAGATTTTATTTATCCATTCATGAGTACACAGAGAGAGAGAGAGAGAGAGAGACAGAGAGAGAGAGAGAGGCAGAGACACAGGCAGAGGGAAAAGCAGGCTCCACGCAGGAAGCCCAATGTGGGACTTGATCCCGGGTCTCCAGGATCACGCCCTGGGCCAAAGGCAGGCACCAAACCGCTGAGCCACCCAGAAATCCCATAAATAAATAAAATCTTAAAAAAAAAAAAAAAGGGAAAGCTATTGTCTTGCAACAGGCCAAACGTAGAAGGCTAGAGATCCAAGATCAAGATGCAGGGTCAATTCTTTCTGAGGGATGTGAGGAAGTAAGTGTGCCAAGCTTCTCTCCTGGCTTCTGCTGATTTGCTGACAATTTTTGGTGTTCTTGGTTTGTAGAAGCGTTGCTCAAATCTCTGCCTTCAGGTTCACATGGCTTTTTCCCCCATATACATGCCTGTGTCCAAACTTCCCCTTTCATAAGGACACTGTTCAGATTAGGAACCTGCTGTACTCAGTATTACCTCTTCTTAACTAATTACGTCTGTAATGACCCTATTTAAAAAAAATCACATTCTGAGGTACTAGGGATTAGGACTTCCATATGAGAATTGTGTAGGGACACAATTTGACCCACAACACATGGTTAGACATTCATGTGGGCTGGCTCAGTGCTCCTCAGAGCACTATTGTCATATGGCCAGAAGATTCCCCCAAGGTCAGGGCATGCTCCATACTCCCCTCAACATCTGCTGCAGATTGCCTGGGGCAAGTGTCATGCTATGGTTAGTCCATGCTCCCTTAGGAGCTCTTCGCTAGGAGTAGTAGGGGTCAGAGCTGTTCACAGACTTCTGTGCCAGCCTGGGGTAGCGGGGAGGGCTCAGGGCCCCAATGTATCTAGAGGGTGGTGACCCAGAGTCAGGAAATCTAGCTGTCCCCTCCGGGGCCTCTCTCCAGTACTTTACCAAGCATCTCCCCTTCCCTTCCCCAACTAAAAATTTAAACTTTTTACTTAATGGCCCTGTATATAAGAAGTCTATCTCGATCTCATTCTAGGATTTACAAAATGTGGGTAGTTGGTCTTAGATTACAAAACAAATATGGTGTGCCTGGGGGGCACAGTCAGTAAGGCGTCCAACTCTTTGTTTCAGCTTGGGTTGTGACCTCAGGGTTGTGAAATCAGGCCCCACATCGGGCTCCCCACTCAGAGCGCAAAGACTCTCTCCCTCTGTCCCTTCCTAGTGTTTGCTCTCGGGTTCTCTCTCTCTCAAATAAATAAATAAATATTAAAAAAAAAAACAGAAATATATCTCTAGGAGTCTGTTGAGATGAGGACTTTGTCTACCGCATTCAGTAGAGCCACACCATGGGCTCCTAGGATGAGACATGTGTTTGTCAAGGCTCTTCAGAGAAACAGAACCAACAGGAAGTGCATATATAAAGAGAGATTTATTTGAAGAAATTTGATCATGTGGGGCACCTGGTTGGCTCAGTTGGTAGAGTGTGTGATTTTTGATCTCAGAGTAGTGAGGTGGAGCCCCAATTCAGCATAGAGATCCTATAAATAACCAAACAAACAAACTTAAAAATTTTATTTACTGATATTATTGTGGAACCTGGCAAGTCCAAAATCTTCAGGGTAGGGCAGCAGGCGGCAGGCTGAAGACCCAGGGGAGAGTTGATATTGCAGCTCAAGTCCCAAAACAGTCAAGAAACAGAATTCCCTTTTTTGTGGGGGATTCAGTTTCAGATTTTTGCTTTTTTTTTTCTCTTCTTTTAAGGCCTGCAATTGATTGAATAAGCCCCACCCATTCTGCAGAGAGTAACCAGATAAATCTACAGATACTAGTGTTTGACTAAGTATCTGAATACTTGCCCCAAACTTCATCACAACAGGATGTATCTCTTTTTCATTTAGGAACACAATGCATACTCCCTATGCAGGCTGAAATGGTCCAAGAGGTGCTGTGGGATTGACCATCTGGGTTTGAATCCGAGCCCTACCTTTCCTCTGTGCGTGAACTGAGCCAGTAACTCCACGGGAGTGAGTCTTGTTTACCTCCATCTGTTGGACAGAAGTGATGACAATGGTGCCTGTCTCGTGGAGGAATAGGATGAGCCAGGATGAGCCAGATGAGTAAATGCCTCCAGAGAGCTTTCTTTGTGCCAGGCCCTGGGCTAAGAGCAGTAACATATCTGATCTCATTTAATCCTCAAACAGGCCTAGGGTTTAGGCACTATGGCTATCCCTGTTTTACAGAAAAGGAAACTGAGGGCAAATGACACCTTAAAGACACCCAGCAAGGGAGTTCAGAGCCAGGGATCAGATCTTTGGTGTCCAGAGTGACCATTCCTAACCACTATGCATCCTGCCTCTCTGCTAGAGCTATTGCTGCTTTTGTGCTAGTGGCTTACTAACTAGTCCCAGGCCTGGCACACAGTAGGTGCTTAGTAACTGCGTTTAAGGAATTGAATACCTGTTTTGATATTGAGATATAATCAGAAATAGAAATTTTGGTCTTCCTCCCCAGCTTCTGGCCAGAGACCTAAAACCTCTGTGATTTCCTAAGTGATAAAGGTGAAAGGAACACCTTTTGGGTTTTGTTTGTGTGTTTGTTTTTTAAAGATTTTATAATTGGGACGCCTGGGTGGCTCAGTGGTTGAGCATCTGCCTTAGGCTCAGGGCGTGAACCCCGGGGTCCTGGGATCGACATAGGTCCAGGCCTATGTCTCCGTCTCTCTCATGAATAAATAAATAAAATCTTTTAAAAAATTAAAAAATAGGGATCCCTGGGTGGCGCAGCGGTTTGGCGCCTGCCTTTGGCCCAGGGTGCGATCCTGGAGACCCGGGATCGAATCCCACATCGGGCTCCTGGTGCATGGAGCTTGCTTCTCCCTCTGCCTGTGTCTCTGCCTCTCTCTCTCTCTCTCTCTCTGTGACTATCCTAAGTAAATAAAAATTTAAAAAAAAATAAATAAAAAAATAAAAAATTAAAAAATAAAGATTTTATAATCGCTTCTCAGTTTTTTTGGCTAAGATCAAGTTTTTTTTTTTTTTAAGATTATTTATTTATTTATTTATTTATTTATTTATTTATTTATTTATTCATGAAAGAGAGAGAGAGGGAGAGAGAGTGGCAGAGACACAGGCAGAGGGAGAAGCGGGCTCCATGCAGGGAGCCTGATGTGACAGGACTCCAGGATCACACGCTGGGCCAAAGGCAGGCGCTAAACCGCTGAGTCACCCAGGGATCCCCTCAAGTGTTTTTTAATAAAGATTTTATTTACTTATTTGAGAGAGAGTGAGAACACGAGTGGGGGAAGGGCAGAGGGAGAGGGAGAAGCAGGTTCCCCCACTGAGCAGGGAACCGGATGTGGGGCTCAAACCTAGGACCCTGAGATCATGACCTGAGCTGAAGGCAGATGCTTGACTGTCTGAGCCAC